GGGAATAGAGCATTTTGGGGTGGGTGGGATGGTTGGTGTTTTTGGACGGAAGGGATGGTATTTGACACTTTAGGAACCGGTCTGGACTGATTGATTGACCTACTGGCTCATGAGGTAGGTAGTTGTGTATATGCTGCATCTTTTCGATATCCTGTAAGAAGGGGAGATTTGGTCCATTCGACTTTCCTCCTTTGTCCCGAATTCGCACTCACTCACGATACCCCTTATTTTCACCCTTTCCAACGCCAAGGAGTGCATCCTCTGTCCGCTGACCATGATGACGACGACAACAACAATCCTGCCCCATCATGCATGATAGATAAGAGGAATAGATAGTATGCGATTCTATCGCGGAGCTTTTAGTTCTTGCCCTACTCTTCTTTTGTGCCCTTTGCTCGGCCCTGGACGTGGATGTGGATGTAGGTGTGGGTGAGGATGGACTTTTCCCTTTTCCTTTATCTCTGTTTGTCTTCTCTTCTTCTTATTTCCTCTCTACTTGGTCGTTGACGTGGTATAGGGGTGAGGATGTAGATGAAGATGGAGATGGAGATGTGCAGTCTTGATGCTGGCTGGGCTGGATGATGCTAACTGGAGAATGGGGTGGGGATATGAGGGGGACGGTGTTGGGGGTTTGTTCAGATGTTGCGTAGGGTGGATGATTATTTCTGGTTTGTGAGAGGATGGAGGAAGGGGGTTTTGCAAGGGGAAAGGGGTAAGTGGGAGGGGAGGGGAGGACGGAGAGGGGTAGGGAAGGGTGGAGGGCGAGGAGTGAAGAACATTCTAGGGAGGAGATCGTGGGTGAGGGGTGGAGAGCAGGATGGGTGAGAGCGATGTTCGAGGCGAGGATGAGAGGTTTGTAGTTATAGTGGTGTTTGTTTTGGGTTAGAAGAGAGTTGGCCACGACGAGTAACAGACCCTCTAAGTGTGGAAAGCAAGGGACCCTTCGATGGAAGAGAGCAAGGAGCGGGGATGGTAGGGAGGTGAGGTTTTCGAGGTGAACATGGGAGTCTACTTGCTACAGCTCTGTTGCGGTGGAAGAGGAAGAAAGAGAGATTAGAGGCCCAACAGTGAGTGGAATCTTTCAAGAAAAAAACCCCACGACGAGAAGAGGTATTTATTACGGCTTCTTTTTCATTGTGCGATGCTCATTCATACCATCAAAGTTCAGTTTAACAGCCATGCAGAAACCAACATTAACACCAGCATAACACAAATTAGGTCTCTGCTCTTAGAACCGTATTCTCCGTCAGGATGCATTCAATCAACCAATTCTCTGCAGCAAACGTGATTCTCCAACGTCTCATTCATCGCACAGTTGTTACTAGCCCAGACAATCGCCCATACAGCTCTCGTTGCCCTCCTGAGGTTTCCGGGCCAGGCTATGCGGGAGTTCTTCAAAGTCCCCTCATATTCCTCGCATACCCACGAAGTGAGGACCGCGCATCCTGCACGCCACTCCTCATCCAAACTCTCCTCGACCCCGTCCAGCTCGCTATGAGTTTCAAAACGGAATCCCGGCCTTGCATCCCATCGTGGAGAGTTTTGGGGCGAGGGGTTTGAGTGTGGAGAGGCGTTTGAGGAGGAGGGGGAGTTTGGGGGAGTGCGATATGCTGGAGGTGGTGGTGGTGGGCGCTGCAATCATCGTGCCGTTTTGCTGGGCTTGGTCCTGGACTGCCTCGGACGAGGATCTGGTACTCCAGACTTCGTCGTCTTCGACTGGGAGAAGCACGCCGCCGTCGCTGTCGTCGCTGCTCATGGAGCTTGAGCGGCTTCTTGGAATTGCGATGTCGATGATGTTCGACACTTTGTTGACATCGACATCGACATCGATCTCATTGTAGTTGGTGATGGACGAAGCGCAGCTTGTTGGTTGCGTGATGGAAGTCGAAGCCCCTGCAGTCGAGGCGGATTCGATGCTCTGGCCCTCATTCTCTGCCAAAATGCCCGAGGCGCCGTTGAGGTCGAAAACATCTTCCGCAGCCTCTGGTGTGTCTGCGTGGTTGCTTTGCCGCATCAAGACCACTGGCTGAGGCTGAGAAGTCTTCTCCTGAACGCACAGACCACCTGATTCCTCCTGGTGGGCGACGAGGTCTTTCTGGTATTGGAAGACCTGATGGCAGGTAGAGCAGACGGGATGTCTCTCCCTCATATGCGCCTCCAGCGTGCCTGCCTTGCTATTGGCCATCGTCTTCATGCAGACAGGACAGAACGCAGGACTCTTAGCATTCTCCGTACCCTGATGTCCAGTAGCCCGATGATGCTGCTCCAGACATCCTGGATCTCTGACTTTCAACCCGCAGCGACAGGTCACAGTGTGAGGGTTGACGACGGCAGAGGAGCTGATGTTCCTGAGATGGCCCGTTGATCTCTGATGCGAGAGGAACGCGGCGTTGTCCTTGAAGGTGAGGAAGCAGGAGCAGATGACCATGTGCTCCGACGCGCGGATGTGGTTCAGGAGGGCTCTGAAGTCGTCGAAGTGGGCAGCGCAGCGGCATTGACATTGTGCGATGTTGAGCTCTGAGTGTTTGTGTTGGGCTTGTTTGAGATGTGCCGTGACAGTGGCGACGACGTTCACCTCGCTGGCAAGTGCGATATGTTGATCTGGGCCATTCGCTTTCAGGAGGCCATCAAGCTCCAAACAGTTCATGCCAGTCTTGCACTTGCCACTTTCGAGATGTGTCAGCAACACTGCAGGAGAGCTGAATGGCCCATCACATCGCTCCGAGAAAGGACAACCAAGATGGCGGGATGGGTCATGTTTGACCTTGAACTTGTGGCCCCTGAGGACGAACAGGGCGCTGGAGTCGAGAACGCAGTCGTCGCAGCGGAGTTGGCGGCATTCGTCGACACTGGGGATGATGACATTTTTGTCACGACGCCCGAGGGCGATCTGCACGGCGGCGTGGCCGTGGCCTTGGGAGTGGTCATCCAGAGCCAGCTGAGACGGAAAGTTGGTCTCGCAGGCGACGCAGGCAATGCCGCTGTGGTGGAAGACGTTGCGGTTGTGTTCTTGGTGGAGGTCGTATGTGGCGAAGAAGACGTCGTGAGACTTGCAGTAGCAGTGTCCCTCAGTCATCTGGTGTTTCTTGGCCCTGTAGTCGTTGGCGAAGTGCTGGCGGCAGGTGGTGCATGCTGGGTGTTTGTCGTTCAGGTGAGCTTGGACGCCCCCGACGCTGGCGAGCTTGCGATCGCAGAGTGGGCAGGGGTGAGTCGACATTGTCGGTGCTTGAGGGTTGGGGTTGGATGTGTCTTGGAGTTGACTGTGTCTTGAACTTGACTGTGATTGAAGTTGACTGTGTCTTGCAGTTGACTGTGTCTTGCAGTTGACTGTGCTTGAAGTTGGCTGTGGGCGTAGCTTTGTTTGAATGTGTATGATGTGAGAAGTCGTGTCTGACCGAGGATGTTTGATGTTGAAAGGGTTTGTTTGGTGCATGGAGGAATTTCTCCTCGAGTCGACACCCACCGTGACATATATACGCCCTTTTCCATCCACCCACCAGCCAAGAACCAAACAACCTTCTGCACCGCCTCTATGTTCAAAAATTGTTCTGATACAGAACCATGGGTAGAAATTCGTTTCCGGAGAAAGAAACAGTCCTGCGCGGTCTTGGCTTGAAAGTGGTCAGCAATGGAGAAAATCTCTCACTGGACGGGTGGTGCTATTCTTGTCGCGGAGACTAAACGACGACAGATGGTCAGCAGAGAGAAACATATCGCACTGGCTACCGATAATGTCCTTCATTCGCTGCGCCTTGGAGCTGTCATTCGACGACCACCGGTGAATTTCTTTCGAAGCCGTGCTGTTTTGGTAGATGCTTCCCAGCGAAAGCCGCCCGGCCTCACAGCACCAGCATGGATATCACCATATCACCAAGGAATTTTTATGTTTCAAGGTCATGGAAGATGCGGTCGTTCAGGCTGGGCAAACTTTTTGGATGACCCAGATCCGGAAGGTGTCATGTGAAAAGCCAAGAATTCTACTGGCTAGCGGGCTTCAGCCTTCTGGCCCAAGCTTTTGCTCTGCAGCGCAGTGCAATTCTGATGACACTCGCTCGGGTTTTGGAAAATGTTTACTCTTGGTCGTTGGCGAAACATCATACGTGGCCTGAGTTAATATGGGTCTTGACCAAGTTGCACGATTTGGTCGCCGTGTCATGATTCTTCACCATAGCCAGGCACAGGTTTGTGACTTGAAGGAATTTGGCCAATAGTCGAAATGTTTTCATATTCTCTGGACACTCAGTCGTTTCTAGCTTTACCGTTCGCGCGAGTGGTTGCGCCGTTCTGAGTCGTCGCTTCCTCTCCGCCGTCGATTTCGTGCACTTTCATGTCCAGCCCAACCCAGAACTTCTTCCCTCGCCACTCGACTCTGGTACCAGCCCAAAATGCCCAGACCCATATAGGTAATGCTAAGCTTTCCCGACCCAGCCAAGCTAACAACCACTCTCCAAACGGACGTCTGCTACCGGACTTTGGTGGTCGCGCGAAGAAGGGTGTATCATCGTCGACTTCGATCGATGCTCCGGAATGTAGCTTTTGGTAGAGCGTCCTATCCATGAGACACCAGATGGAGACGCTCAGCAGCCAGAACCAGGCGAAAGTCGCCCACGTTTGTGGTATGCCGAAAAGGTTGTGGAAGAGAGGTAATGTGGAGGCAGCAAAAGCGCCATAGGCCGAACAGAGGAAGCTTTCGGTCCCAGGTTCGACAAGGGTAGCCAGGGTGACAGTAAACTTTCTCACCCTCAACCACCGCACTCTCCTGCTCCAGTACTCGCGGATGCTCATGTTGGCCATGGGTTGGAAGGCGAGATCGCCAAAGCACAGAGCATGCTTACCCAACTTCTCACCCTGCTTCTCTGCAGAAGTTTCCTTCTTCCAGAGCAAGTCGCCAATCAGGTGATCTTCGCAGATGTTCTGGCTGAAGTAGTCAATTCCAGCGTTGTCTGTGAGGCTGTTGAGATGACTTCGCCGAAACATGGTACTCTTGCCAACGATGCATGGTGCGATGAGCACAGTGTTGATGGCAGTGTAGAATTTGGGGTGGGCAGACGACATAAAGAGCTCCTCGAACCTGCCTCCCCCGACGGAGAATGCTGTGCGCTCAGAGGCGTGCTGCACCGTCGCCGTGGCTGAACTTGTCGTCCGTATCTGGGCGTCTGCACCCACACCGTTGCCATTCAACAGCCCTTGTGACTCTTCGCCTGTCGTGGAGCCAACAATGTCTACCACCAGTGGAAGCTGATGTACCAGCTTGTATTTCGGCTTCACTCCATCTCCTTCCAACTTGTTCACCATCCTCCCACACACGCCTTTGGCAACCCACACATTGCAATCGATGACCCAGATGATATCTCCCACAGCCTCCCGATATGCACGACTCATATTGCGGATCTTGGGGTTTGGGCCAAGCTGAAGCTCGCCATCCTTCAAAGCCTCATCCTCCTCTTCCAGCAGAAGCTGAGCATCGTAGCTCGCGTAGTCCTCCAGCAGCCGCTTGACCACAGGCATTGACGGATCTTCCCGATCAGATATGCAGAATCTGAGGTGTAGCTTGTCCTTGGGGTAGTCCTGGAGGAATGTCGATGCCAAGCAATCGTAGAGTCGTGGTTCCAGGCCTTTCACCGGCCGGATAATGGTGACATGGGGGTGATCCTGTAGCTTTGCTCGTGGTCTGGGTGAGGAGTAATGTCGTCGTATCTGGGTGTACCCGATGCAGCAGACCAAGACCACCGTGCAGTACCAGACCAGGCATGCGACGGCAGCCACGTAGGCTATCTGGGAGGTGGCATTGTCGTGTGGGGAGACGATTGTCTCGGCGACGGCATTTGTCGGTGGCATGCGCCGGATATCGCTCGTTAATGAGGGTATTGAAAGGTCATCGTCGCCAAATTCGAGAGTCCCAAAAGGCATTTCGGGAACACGTGCCGGCGCGAGGGCGGCGCGTGAAGCCGAGGCCGCCGATCCCCACTCTCGCGCAGCATTGTTTACCTTGTCGCCATCAACATTCGTACCTTGAGCATTACGCGACGACGACAATCTGATTTCGGGAGTTTCGGAGTTGGTGATCGCGTAACGATGAATAGCAGCAGCAACATGCAGTCCAGCCCGCCCGCACGCGCCTTTCCGCGCCCGTCGTCGCCCTCCAATTCCGACTATTCCCTTGATCTGGGCGCGTTGGACATGGACACGCAGTCGGATCTGGACATTCCCAAGCAAAAGGTCGAGCGCGTCTTCTCTGAGGATATCGACGGCCCGAGCGACTTCACTCAGAACATGGACATGTGGATGCGGGGAGGAACCATGTCCAAGGGCACGCTGAGGGGATCGAGGAAGATGCCACGGCCGATTCAGGAAGAGGATGAAGCACAGCACAATGATCACCTTGCTGTCCCAGAGGCAGGCGATGCAGAGGAGAAGACGGAGAGCCACCATACACCGGACAGCAGCCCACCCAAGGTGTCTGTCTTGGACCAGACGACACACGAGGACCAATTCAGCTCAGAATGGCACACCCACGGCTCGCATTCCACTCCTGTCCCACCCGTACACAAGCAATTCTTACAGCCCACGGTCGAGGACTACTACAGCGAATTGACTCCAGCACATCGCACGCCAGGCCAATATACTCGTGGTCGACCTCCGCAAAAGCATTCGCCGGCGAAGGATGAGGACTCCACACCTGGTCGCGCTTCCAGCCCCACGCTTTCCCCAGTCCGCTCGCCCATCATCCAGCGCACTGCAGGTCAGGATGAAGACTATCCTGATGAGGAGAAACACGAGCTTGAGAGACAGCTCAGCGCATTGTCGGCCAAATGCCAGCAACTCGAGCATCTCAATGACGCACTTGGCCAAGCACTGGACGAAGACCGCCGCATTCGCAAACAGGAAGCTGCTGATCATGAGGCGAAATTGGCTGAAGCTGCCCGACGTGAGCGCGATTTGGCTGAGATGAAGGAGGCTGCCTACCAACACAACGACGGCTTCCGACGAGAGTTTGGGGATTTGAAAGAGAAGCTTCGCGAGCAGGAGAGACAGGCAGAGACAGAGCGAGTTGGTAACGAGGACTCGAAGCAAGATCTCCAGGCAGAGTTGCTGCGACTTCGGGAGAGGATGGAAGTAGACAAGATGGAACACAACCAGCAGATTAGAGCACTCGAGCAAGACCTCGAGCTGGCGCGACGTGGAAGAGACAATGCCGAAGAGACGGCAAGGGTGCATCGTGAAGAGCTTGAAGAGCAGAATGAGATTCACCAGGAAGAAGTGGCTCGGTTCAGAGAAGAGTTGAAGGATGCCAGGGATACCCAAACTGCTGTCAAGATGCTGGAGGCTCGTTTGAAAGAGGCCAATGAGCACATGGCGACGCTAAGAGCTGCGAACGGCGAGGCGAACAAGACGATTCTCAGTTTGCGAGCGAAGCTCTCCAAAGCGAAGCAGGGTAATGATGAAGAGACTCAAGTCGCAGTAGCTGATCGCAGTCGTGCTGTTGAATTCGCTGCAAACCTTCAACGCCAACTCCACGAGCTCAAGCAGCAGCTCAAAGATGAGCAGTCCGCACATGAAGAGGAGATGGAGCAGCTCAAGTGGAGACACGCCCAGGGAAGAGAGACATCTCAAGACGAGCTCGAAGTCGTCCGTGCAGAACTCGAAGCCAAACAAACCGAGCTCAACGAAGCCATCCTCGAACGCGACGAAGCTAAGGACAGCCTCCAATCACGAGAATCGACCGAGGCAGACTTACAAGCCGAAATCGACGACATGAAGCTCGTCAACGCGGAACTCGATGCTAGGATCACGGAGAAGATGCAGCGGCGGGAGAAGTACTGGCGCGAGAAGCTCGAGGAGGCGGATAAGGAGCGGGCGTTGATGGCGAAAGCGTTGTTGCATCAATGGGGGAGGGAGGAGGTGGGGATTGAGAGCCCCCAGATGTATGCTTATAAGTATTTGAAGAAGGGGAGTATCCCGGTGGAGACGTCGCCGAGCAAGGCGACGGTCGTGGGTTGATGGGTGGTTGTTCTCGTCAAGTTGAGCGTCCTGTCTTCGACGGTCGATGGTTGAAGATGGCAAGAGCTGCCAAAACATGAGGGAACGCCAGTCAGTTCGGCTTAGAGATTGGCCATCTCAATAACACTTTTATTCCCAAGTATATTGACCTTGCAGCCTCTCAAAAGCCACGACACCTTCATCGCGTCCCTTAGAACTCCAGACTCCATCGCTAAAAGTGAGAGCATCCTCCTCATCGTTATGCCATTTTGCCGTCTCCCATCTCCTTGAACCCCCAAACCTCTTTCAATCCCACAGCTTCATATTTCCCATCTTACTGCCCCAAAACCTTCAAATCCTCTACACCACTCATTAGCACAACTTCCCTCAACACCCTCAATCTCAATTAATACGTACTCTGCTGCGTCAGGAGTAACCCATAGCGCTTCTTCAGCGTAACTCGGTGGCTGTATCACTTAAATCAGTACCACATCCTCAGACCAAGAGCGCATGATGTGTCTTACCGCGAGTACTTGTCGTCAGGAGAAAACCTGGCGGGGTGCGCGGACTTGGTGACCTCGCCCTCGGCGATTTTCTTGAGGGTATAGTTGCGCTTGCCGGCGGCGTCGAGGGTGTACATGAGATGCATTTTCGGTAGCGGTTTTCCGGGTTGTTGTTGGGATGCTTGATGGCGATTGGTGTCGTGCGTGAGGATACGATGTGAGGGAGGGTGAAGTCTGAGAAATCTCAAGATTGCGGAGAAAAGATCTCGTCGCTCGGTGGTGTTCGGCCCGCGCCGCACTTCGATGTCTTGGCGCTCATGACGATGGCTCTCAGGTAGCTTCTGACAGCTGTGAACATTCACTTACCTCAACTCACCAAGCCAGCCCTCATTCCCATCCTCCACCTCCACCACCTCCACCACCTCCAACAACTAAATGTACCTCCTCCTCCTAATAGGTCTGCTCAGCAGCACAACCCTAGCGCAATTCTTCAACTTCGGCAACATGTTCAACCAACAACACCAACAAGCCGAACCGCAAAACATGCCCTCCGACTCGGACTGGTACCAGGGTCAATACGAGGGAGCGCGGTGCGACAAGTACCTGTGTCCTCATACATTATCGTGAGCACCGCAATACCCCAATCCAATGCCTTCTGTCTGCGTCGAACTATCTGGCTAACGTTTATGTTATAGATGCGTCCACTTCCCACACCACTGCCCCTGCGCGTTCCCGGCCGTCGAGGATAAAGTCGAGTTTGGGGAGGGGAGTATGGTTTGTGCGAGTAAAGGGGGGTATAAAACTGGGGAGGCGGCGAGGAAGATTGAGTTGGCCAGGAAGGGGTTGCTTTGAGAGTGAGGCTCGATAGGATGTGTACGATTATGGGTTTTATGAATTGAATGATTGAAGAGAAGAGGAATGGATGTTTTCTGTTCATGCCATGTTACAGGACCGTGCCGCTGGAAAGCGCGTAGTGGCAAGGAATACCAGACGCAGGAGGCTTGATGGAAGATGAGTGAATCACACTGAGACGGGGCGACGCTTCTGGCTGATAGGCGTTTTAAGGGTTCGTTGATTCGAGAACATCGAGCTGAGACAACACTGTTTGTAGGCTTGACCAGCTTGTTCGCCTTCACTTGTTTCAGAAGCTCTCCTTTTGCAGGTGAATTTGACAACTTTGGCAGTTCTGCGACAAGCTCTCTCATACATCAAGTTCCCTCTTTCGCTTCGACATCCCCACCGCCGCCACCACCACTACACATCGCAACAGGAACACACTCCACAACAATCAGCATCACGGGACCCTGCGACATTGCACATACGACAGGCCTTTCACTCATTCTGTAAGGCGCCTGAATCGTTCAGCTCGACCTCTCACTAACACAACCAGCATCTCGCCCGCTATGGACGCCTCCCCGTTCAAGAAGCTGCCTGCCGAGACTCGCAACAAGATCTACGAACTCGTGATCGGCACACGACCTTCCAAGAAGGCCACGAACATCGGCAAAGCGTGCCAAGTCTCGATCGCCCGCGTATGCAAGCAGATGCGGGCGGAGACTCTACCCATGTGCTTCTCCAACATCACGGCGCGGATCAACGTCGTCAGCAACTTCGCCCTGCCCTTCAATCACAAGCACGAAACCGCCGGTCTCGACCACCACTGGGGCCCTTGCCGTGCGTCATTCCTCAAGGGAGCCTCCAACATCATGGCGGTGGCTCAGCGCATCGGCATGCATCCTCAGGCTTGCTACGATGGCGTCGCCCGACTGAATCTGCGCATCATCCTCGATGCTGAGGACTATGAGTTTGGACTGGCGTGGCAGGTCTGGGAACCGCATCTGCGGGAGTTGGCGAGAGCTCTCGACCAGCGGGACCTCGACGGTGGGCGACTTTGTGTACGAGTGGAGTACCATACCTTCAGCGTGGAAGAGAAGAAGGTAATACCGCAACATTTGAGGATGGCGTTCGAGGGGCTGGGCTTGAGACTCGATGAGGTGAGGTGCCTTCTGGACAGGGATTTGAAGCTCGAGATGGACAACCTGCGCAAGGAGTGGCGTGACTTGTTGGCAAGACAGGCCGCAGCAAAGGAGGTCGCAGCGAAGGAGACCGCCCGTGAGAGACGGCTACGTCTTGAAGCTCAGCAATGGTGGCGACCGTGGTCTTTTTACTTGGACCTTGAGCGTGTGGAATTCGATGATCCCATCAAGGCCATAGTGTTCAGTCGGGCACCTTTCGTGCACTCAGCAGCACTTGCTCGGGGTGAAGATGTCGGAAACCTGGACGACGAGCAGCCGGGCTACATAGGTCCAGGCTGGACATTCTGCGGCGGCGGTGGGAATCTCGTTCCTCCTCTTTGGCTGCCATCGGATAGTGTCCACCCTCTACTGCAACAGTACCGCGAAGAGATGCTCGCTGGCTTGGAGAAGGAGTGAGATAGGGGCACGCTGGGCAGCAGGGCAGGCATGGACGGGACTCTCGGCGATGCAGATGCGCCGACCATCGAACTGCGCAAGAGGAAGGTTGCTACATCACGGGCAGAATACACCGTCTGACCACCCTAAAAAGGTCGCATCGGGTGGGTCTCGCGGTTTGTAACATAGGGCTTTGTCGCAGGATACCACGCCAACCATACCTCTATCAAGAAGTTGTACATCTCGGTGCAACCACCTTTCGTCACCTACGACCTTGCGCCTCAACGTCTCCTTCTCGGCGAAATCAGACAGTGCTATGCGGCTGGACAAGATCACCGCTGTTGGGAGGCTTGGATGGTGTGTGCATTGTGTATCCACTGTTGGTATGACTGCAGTAGCACTGCTTGGTGGACGAGGTGGGTGTACGTGGACATGGACATGGACTTTCTCATCGCTTCACCCGCAGCTGATTCCAGACCACCTTCTCGACTTGGCTATCAAGAGCTGGCTAAGTAACACCATAAGCGGATCGTCCATGGATCCTGGAATCAGGCATGTCTCTCAAACGCAGTAAGCACGCACTCCTAGACTTATATCCACTCAACGGGCCTAAATACTCACTAGTCGCACGTAGCTCGCTATGTCAACTTCAATAGGAAACCCTCCCCCGCAACCCCATCCTAACAGGGCCTTCCGTTCCTCAACAACCTGCTCGTACAATCTCCCTGTTGTACATTCTGATCCCACCGACTAAAACTCCCTACAATCCACTTGAAGCGAAGATCTTATGAAGCGCATACACGGCTTACGAAATATTAATGTGCATGTCGACGGCATCAGCTCCGCAGTGGCGGATGAGATGGATTCTTCAGATCCGGCTGCAGTCAGCTTGCCAATCTGGCTGCGGGCTGACGGCGATGATTTCCTCCGCGGGCAGGATCGATTCGGTGCTGATGTTGGTTGCTCTGGAAATTTGCCTAGATTGAAAACGGGAAGTGTTGGATGGAGCGGGCGTCGTTGGCGGAAGAAGGGCTGGGTTGTGTTGATTGCATGGTCGGGTATGTGTTTTGTGGTGGGGAGTGTTGCAATTCAGATGGAATGGCCCTTGCTGCTACCCAGGGCTATTCAGAATGGCGCTGCACGCTTCCTGGTCGTCTACAAATGTGGCTTCTTAGTGGTCGACCCTAGGCTTCAGCCTGAAAGCGGTATACGGTAGGATCTCAGTGCAATAACCACATACACATGACGTACTCGCGACGCAACTCGCAAATAGGCGACCCCCATCCCAATTCACGCTGATGACCTTACCCAAACCGTCGAAAGTACCAACAACAACATCACAACACAAGCAACCGAGCAGATCAGAAAATAATCCCCCAAAATATCTCCGCCATCCATCCCATCCATCCCATCCATCCCATCCTCCCAGGAACCAAAACTATTTCTCCGCGCCCGAGAACCCTTTTTCGATTAAGTTCGGCCGGCGCAGGGTGGCCCGCCTAACGACATCTTTTGCGCATGAAGGAGCCGAACTAAAGAAAGGCTATTTTACGCGGAGGGCTTGGTGAGGGCTTGTTTTTTGATGAGATGAGGTTGGGAGGAGGTAGGAGAGGGAGGTAGGTTTTAGTGTGGGGTGTGTTTGGGCGGGCGGGCGGGCGAACTGGTTCGTTGTTTTTGTGGGTTCTTTTCACGTGGTCTTGGGATGGTCTGGAGATAAGGGTTCGCTTTTGTGCGAGGGAAGTGGTGGGGTTTTCGAGTTGGTTTGGTTGTTTGACGGCCTGGGGATGATGGGGTTGCGAGATTTCGCAGTTGCTCGCGTTCATCTAGGAACTGGTAGTAGGCGTTGTAGAAATGTGCCCGTTTGATGAGCAAACTGGATGAATGCGAGCTAAACACCACACCAGAAGCGCCATGCATCGCCGTCTATCATGTTTGTAAATGCGCCAGAGCCAGAATGCTCTAAAGATGCGAGTACAAGCCAAATTTTATCGCCCGCCGTCCGAGAATCCACCCGCTCAGATCCTGTACACCTGAACACCGTGCGTAATCTATCGTCGTTTGATTCCCGTTCTGTTTAGGGGAACGTGCAAACTGCCGTAGCTGTTTTACAGTTCTGATTTTTTAATGGCATGTTGTAGCCGCTCAAGAAGAGGAAAGTCTTGGTTCTCGCTGTCGTATCAATAAACTCAGGCATTTTGAAAGTCGGCTTCTGGGATGGGCTGGCGGGTCGAGAGCTGCGGTAGTGTCAGTATCAAAGTATGTATGTATGCCAAGTCGTTGTGAAAAGGGTTGCAAAAAGCAGGTGAGGTCGAAATGGCAGGGGCCCGTGCGCCAACAGCGGCGTCAACAACGTCAAGCTTGCAAATTTCCGACTCCCCCCTTCTTCATCACATCGACATCGACCTTCATCAAATCAAAGCGCAAGGCTGCGTGACAAAGCTGCGGAGATGAAATGCGATGGAAACTCACCTTCTGCTTGCCCAGAGTCAGCGGCAGAGCCTCCCGGGTGCTCACCAGGCGGTCCAGGATGAATGCCATCCAAAACGTCCGACGCTTCTCCTCCAGCCCCACCCAATCCTTTGGCGGCGTCGGCGGCGATGATGTGGTCCGATCGAGTTCGAACAGTCGCATGAGATGGACCAGCCGAAGACACCGACCAGCCGCAACCCAAGCTTGACGCTCATGCCGCTGCATCAACTCGCCATGAGCCAGCAGAATCCAAGCCTGGACTGTCTCAATGTGCACTCCACCTGAGTTTGGCTTGTTGTCACCTATATCCTGCTCGCCGAGGAGCCGCCATGCCTCCCGGTACAGTAGATCGCGAAGAGACTCCCACCCAGGCGCGGCGGTGGCGGCGACAGCCCACATCGCGTACTGTAAGCAGTGCTGGTCGATGTTCTTTCGCGATGCGCGAGACCACGCTGTGTATCGCGTGCGGTGTAGCATAGGGGCGGAAGCATGTACTCGGTCACTATCAAGGCCTGTCAGCACCCTGGAATGCCCAGCTCCTCCCACCACAATCACTTACAAGAAGACTTGGTCCAATTCAGCGCATTGGCTTTCACTCAGATTAACTTGTCGACGGCCAGGCGTTGAAGGCATGGGAGGTGATGAGATCGATCCTGACCGGGACGATGTCGACAAGGCGGGCATTGGCTGCTCGTTGGGCATCTCAAACATGCTCATAGTTCTGATCGCTTCTTCATCCGACTGCGGCATCATGTATGGAGTCGGAAAGCTTTCAGGCATGAACATGGGTGCATTCTTCATGTCTGTCAGATTGTCCAAGTCCATGTTGAAATCCATGGGGAAGCCGTTGGAGCTGCTACTGGCATCCTCATATGCGGAAGAAGGCATTTCGAGACCACTCAAGTCGAACGCTGACATGTCCACAGATGAACGCCCATCAGAAGACGGACTCGGCTGTTGGTATGGCTGGGTTCCCTGGCCATGGCCAGCATCTTCAAGTCTTTGTTCGAGGCTCACTAATGCGATGTCAGCTTCAGTTCTGGGATATAGCTGTTTCAAGCAGATCAAGAAGATCATTCACTCAACACGAACCTATTCTGGACCGCAAAGCTTCAATATATCCCCTCTTGGGACCACGTGGTGCTGCTGGGGCATCAAAGCTACATTCAATCCCTTGTTCTTTGCACGAGGAACAAGGAGCTCGTCGATCACAGCCCATCTTTCTTCGTCTGCAGTTGTTGCAAGCTCTCCCTGAGCGCTGCCTTGGCGCACCCTGTGGCCGGTCACTGTTAGAAGGGATGTTGGCCATGTTGAGTGGTATACACGAAACAGTAGATCTGAGCGGTTGAAGATGTGGAACGGCAATTCAACAGGCCGGACGAGCGAGTTGAAGTACTACAGCAGGACTCCGTTTCAGGAACAGCTCAGCACGAGGCAACATGTCGCCGATCGATAAAGAGGAGCTTGGGGCTTGGGTTTCTGGTGGGGGCATTATCAGCGGCTGAACTCTGTCCTCCTACGACGCTGCTAAGCATTGTATGTTTTCGGGAGTCGGCCAAGTCGGCCACGTTCGACACATGGCCCACGTTTCACCAAGCTTTGACAAGCAGCCATGTGTTGGTCTAAACGATTGGCGTTCCACGCGTCCGGGGATCCAACACCATGCGAGCCATGTGCACTACTGCTGGGCGTCGTCATGGACTTGGGACGAGGTATATGGTGAGACCAACAGCCGGGACTGTTGTGTAACTCCGCCAGAGATCGAGCGGACTCTGCTCCACGAACGACTGGGCCGGAGCACGTGTCGGCCGTTTTTAGTCCGCCTCTCGTCGGCAGCTGCTGCCTCGTAAAGCGTGATCCTGAACGGCCACATGTAAGAGGAAGCTTGAGAACGGCCCGCTCACGCAAGCGTGAAGCTTGCAGCCACGATCTGATCCAAAAAAATGACCACAGAGGGCTGGACATCATGGAGCTCAACGCTCAAGACCCACATATCCAATGCATTGTCCTCGATGTTCAGCTCAAAGTGGAACATTCGTCCCTATTCCTCCTAATACATACAAGCAGTTTGGAATATACTTAGCAGCGCAGTCGTTGGTAAAAAGTTGGAGATCCAATAGCAGCTCCACATGTTCTACTACTTGCCCGGAACGATGAGGGCACACTTTGCAAGCGCTGTTCGCACTCGCTGCAGATCATCCGGGGGTTCGGCGCCGAAGACTTGACCTGCCACTCGTCGTATTCATGGACTTTCTGTTTCTCCATCCTGCGGGCCCAGCTGCGCTCAGCTTGCTCTTTGTACTACCTATCTACCGGTGACCGCCAGCGCCGGAGAGACTCCATCTGCCTGCAAATCGCTTTGTATAGGACAAATTGTGACTCCGCCTACTCCACGCAGCCCATGCCATCACTACAATGGCACTGGCGTCAGGCCTCCATCGCCCACAAATGGCACCAACAACGCGTCCACTGTCCCGATCGTGATCATATTTCTGACCTTATCAGCTAGCTGTTACTGATCGAAGTTTGGTCGGTATTCCATTCTAAGCCTGCTCACCAACACGAAGCCCACCGACTCGCAACCATGTTCGAACCGAGCAATTCCGCTGCCTTCTTGGTGGCTGCAAATCAGCGCCCTCTCGCAGTCAAGCCAGCCCTCTACCCTACCGCTCGCCCATACGATGTCATCGTCCGGAACAAGGCTGTTGCGATCAACCCCGTCGAACGCGCCAAGCAAGAAATGGGTGACATGATGTTCCCATGGTTGAAGTACCCCATCATTTTGGGCAACGACGTTGCCGGTGAGGTGGTCGAAGTGGGCTCATGCGTTGACCGGTTCAAGCCCGGGGATCGAGTGGTCGGCCATGCCATGGGCATGAGCAAGGAGAGCAACAATCCTGCCGAAGGGGCTTTCCAGAACTTCACCGTCTTATTCGAGCATATGACAAGCCCTATTCCTGACAGTGTCACCTTCGAGCAGGCCGCTGTCATGCCTTTGGCGGTGTCCACCGCTGCCTGCGGTTTCTACCAGGACGACCAGCTGAAACTCGAGCTACCCACTACCGATACCACCCCTGGCTCCCGCGGAGAAATCCTCATCGTCTGGGGCGGTGCTACCAGCGTGGGCTGCAATGCCATCCAACTTGGTGTTGCATCCGGTTACACAGTCTTCACCACCTGCTCGCCTCGCAACTCCGACCTGATGTACAAGCTCGGCGCCTCCGAAGTCTTCGACTACAACGATCCCAACATCAAGCACACCCTCCTCAAAGCCATCAACGACCGACCCATTGCCGGCGGCCTATCTCTCGGCCGCGGCGGCGCCGAGACGATGATGGACGTCTTCCCCAAGTGCAAAGGCAACAAGTTCATCGCCTGCGGCAACTACCCCGAACCACACCCCGCCCCCAAGAACATGGTCATGCTCCGGATCATCTGCAAGTTCCTCTCGTGGCAAATCTCCATGTGGTGGAAGGGCATGACTCGCGGCATCGGGTGGAAGTTCATCTTCGCTGATACCCTTACCAATAACGGTGTTGGAAAGGCGGTGTATACTGACTACCTCCCCAAGGCCTTGGCGGACAAGTCTTACGTGCCTGCACCGGAGCCTATTGTTTTTGGGCATGGGCTTGATGTCATCCAGGAGGCTTTTGATTATCAGGCTAGGGGTGTGTCGGCGAAGAAGGTGGTTGTTACTTTGTGATTGGGAAAAGCTTTTGGTGGTGCTTGTCCATTGTTTCGTGGCGTCGGGGGAGAATGACGGCTGAATGTACGGCCGAACTGTGGTCATTGGTGTCTGGGCCTTATGTATCCACAGACAAAGAGGAGTTTGATGTATCAGCTCTTGACACTTTGTCATTCATCCTCAGACCCGTTTCCTGTTATGATGGTTGTCTTCGACCATGAACCATCCAGCTTCCTTCAAGCACGCCGTCACGATTGACAGTCGCATGGGAGACAACACTTCGCGGACATATCCCTATCACCGCTATCGTATGTGGTTTTTTGACATCGTCGACAGTATAGCAAGACTTTTTCCATTCACGAACTTGACGGAGATAGGGCACAGAGTCTCGTTGCCATTGAACGCTAACCAAAATAGCTCAAAAAGGCTAGATTATTCGAGGTGGAGTCGTGAATGAAAGATGCAGTGCTATACACAATGCTATACATATATATATGACTACGAGAGACAAGAGAATAGACCCAACACAAAAGGCTCAAAACTTCATTTTGCACGCTTACCAACTTTCACGACGATGTCCCTGGTCTTCTTCATCACGGGAGCCTCATCAGTCTTCGGCACCGAGCTCGCACTCAAGGCCTTTGACCAAGGCCACAAAGTCATCGCTACTGTTCGCAACCGCCAACGAGCTCATGGCGCGGTCAGCAAGATTGAGAAACAGGGAGGCCACGTCCTCGAGCTCGACGTGACAAACGCTCCAGCTTGCTTCTCTGTTTGGAAAGAAGCCCAAGCGATCCATGGACACATCGACGTTCTGATCAACAATGCCGGACTCGCATACCTCGGCGCGAATGAGGACTTCGCAGACGAGGAAGTCCACGCTCAGATGGACGTCAATTTCTACAGTCCCTACCGTCTCATTCGCGCCGCGTTGCCATTGTTCCGCCAACGCAAAAGTGGAACCATAGTCAACATCAGCAGTGTTGCGGGCATTGACGGTCTGCCTGCTTGTGGTTGCAAGCAAGTTCGCTTTAGAGGGGATGTCTGAGGCTCTAGCGCGTGATGTCGCCGATCATAACATACAGGTTCTGATCGTGGAGCCTGGTGCCTTCCGCACAAACTTTCTAGGGGCTTACATCACCAACAACCTAGAACATGTGGATGAGTATCCCGTCGTGAAGCAGGTTCTGGAGAGATTCAAGGCTGTGGCGGGGACTCAGAAAGGCGATCCTGCCAAGGCTGCGGAGAGGATCGTGGAGGTTGTCAGTGGGAGCGGGCCGGCGGGGGGTTTGAAGGGTAAGTTGCTGAGACTGCCGTTGGGAAGGGATTGTTTGGGGAGGTTTGAGGCGAAGATTGAGAGTTTGAGGAGGGATGTTGAGGCGGCGAGGGAGGTTGCTGGGAGTACGGATTTTGAGGAGGTGTGATATTTATAGACCTCACTCATACAGTTCGTCGCAATTTCAAGATCAACTATCTCATAAGTTTGTTAAACCAGCTCTTGGATCCAAGGTGGAACCGCTTTCTCCATTGCTCCCGAGCTGTTCAAGCAATCTGGAGGTCTTTCAAGAGCAGGGTCAGTTCTTACGGGTTGAAGGGAAGACACTCCCATGCGTTGGACTTTGAGCGGAACGACGAAGATAGTGAGAAGTACAATTCCTCGCTCCACATAAGAAATTGATTGGTGTCTATGCAAAACAAACTCCTGCTTTCTACCCCAGAGCACGCACACTCTATGCCTTTGCGTTGAACTTGAACACAAACACCGAAGTGGCAGCACCAGGAGGAGTGACAATCGACTCAACCTCATATCTTGGGTCAGCCCTCTTGGTCACATCGATCCAGTCCTGCTCAGTCCTCTCCTTGGCGTTGACGACAGTCATCATCTGCATGGACTTGCCAGTCGCCATACGCTCGATCCAGTTAGGACCCTGGCCAGACTCTGGCATGATGAAGTCGGCGATGATGACACGAGCGCCGTCCCGGAGACCTGGGACCAAGTTGGCCAGGATCTTGACGGCGTACTTGTCCGACCAGTCGTGCAGGATGGAGCGCACGAGGTAGACGTCGCCGTCGTTGCGGATCTCGGGCTTGAGGATGTCGTGCGGCTCGAACTTGACGCGGGAGGTGAGGTCGCTGGGGACGTTGGTGTTGAAGGTCTTTTCGAGTTGGGGGAAATCTTGGACGACGAAGTTGAGGTTGGGGAAGGCCTTTGCGAGCTCGATGGAGACTGGAAGGGAAGGGCGAAAGGTCAGCGAGGTTTCTCAGACACGGAACTGGGTTATCTTCTGCCCTTGATTGTACTTACCATGCCCACCACTGCCGCCCACATCAACAACTTTGCCACCATTGCCAAGGCTGTTCCAGTCAAAGGCAGTGTGCAGGAAGTCATGGTGATGAGCAGAGCTAGCTGCAATGACCTTCATTGCATTGGCGAAACGCTTCATCCTCCAGCCCTTGTCGGCACCCTCGCCATCGTTGGCGATAAAGTCCCAGTAGGTCTTGTCCTGGTCGAACTTGTACGCAAGACCAATGGCGCACTCACCAGGCTCCTCGCTGTCGCCGTAGCGGCGGAGAGCCTCGGCGAGCTGGACATCCGCTGGCCAGACCTCGTCGAGGTTAAAGGTGTACCAGTCACGGAGGAGAGGCGTCTTGAGGAATTGAGCAGAGGGAGCAGTGTGGGCGACGTAGCCGGGGCGGGACTCGCGGAACACGCGGAAGGTCATGCAGTGGCGGATGATGCGGTGGATGCGGTACTCTGGCAGGCCGAGGGACTTGGCGATGTCGGCGAAGGAGATATCGCCTTCGAGAGGAACGAGCTCTGGGATGTTGAACTCGGTGATGACCTTCAAGGCACCCAGGTCATGCTTGATCTGGGGTTCACAGAATGTCAATACGAAGGTCTGAGCTGCTTTGCAAAATGGCTTATACTAACGACATCAGCATACTTGGTGATGTGGTCAAAGGGACCAGCAGCCAAGTCCTGCATCGCCTGAGTGGCATCGACGAGAGCCTTGCGGGTGCGGTGGATCTGCTCATACTCCTTGCCAACGGGGTAGCTGTTGGGGGCGTTGGCGTCGAAAGAAGGCTGCGACAGGCCGGCGTCCCTGATGAGCTTGGTGAGGGTGTGGGTGAGGTTGAGGATCTCCTCAGAGAACCCTTCGAGGGTCTGGGTGGACATCTTCGCGGACGGTATAGATTATTGTGTCTGTGAAAATGGACGTTGCTACAATGGTACTATGAGTTGGATTGATCTGCCCACACTGAAGATTTTACTTCAACGGTGAACAGGTTCGATTTTTATTCATTTCTTCCACGACAATCTCACCCACAACATTTGTTCCCAACTCCATGTTGTTTCTGTGACCCCGTCGTTGTGCTGACCGGCGAGCGAGAGCGTTGTGCAATAGTCGGTGCGCAGCATCGTTGTCGGAGTTTCCAATCTTCCAGCCTTGTCTGGACTTCAGCTTCCCAATCCTTCACGACTACACCACGTCGAATCAGGGCTACTCATCTCTGAATTAATGCAGGGAAAGTGCTCAGACGGTTCTCACACACTATGCGAAATATGTTTCTCGTTGCCACGTTGTGTGCGCGTGGAGACACGGCTGCAAGGAGTTTGCTTGATTTTGGTTTCGGTCGCCGAAAGGAGCCACGAACTCTGGCTGGGCGAGGTAGACCACTGTTGACTGCTTTGGAGCTTGACAGCACTATTCTTCATGCTGCGGTGATAGTAGAACACCTATCTCCAGTGGTCTCGAGCTGTCTATGTATTCTTAGATACTATCGAAGGCTTAGTCGATAGTACAATCAGAGAGATGATAGTGGCATGCGTTCAACTTTGAGCGGGATGACGAGGATATCAGACCTAGATGTCGGCCGTTGTGACGCGCTATAACAGAATGTGGTACTAGCAGTTCATTAGATCGTTGGTTTCGCCACAAGTGACATACTTGCTAAAGGAAGAAGACCGGACGTGAACAAACTCATTCATCGCGATGTCTTCTCGGCAGCTTTCAGCCACTGAAAACCCTCAAGCATAAAGGGCACAGTAAAGTTAGCAAGAAATAGTCGGATTCACCAGTAAACGCTTGGAGCAGACGCACCAAGTTGCAAGTCCAGGCGGTAATATCTCTTGAGCTAATGTTGTATCTAGATTGCAAGCGCGAGACGAAATGAAGTGTAGACACACGGGAAGGAGGAAACAGGAGTCAGAATGGTCTATACTGTGATAACTTGCGGCTAGCAGCGAACAATGCGAGGAGATACTATCAACAAAAATTCATAACGCCATCTCTGTCCTCTAATCGAAATCAAACCTCATCTTACTGCGGCAAAAACCCACTCCTCTTCCAGTAATCGATATAAGAAATCGCAACCTCATCAGCAACAGGCCCAACACCCGCCAACGTAGGTGAGTGCTTCCTCGACTTATCAGTGTCCAGCAAAAGCCCACCACACGACATACGCAAGAAGTTGCCATCCAAGAAATCCACCAGCTTGAATGCAGGATTGTCTTTCTCCACCGAGCCAGGGAAGTGTCGCACACGAGCTACCCATTCTTCAAAGGGGATAACGTTCGTCAATGGGATATTCAAAGCAGACGCCCAGACGCGGATCATGCTGCTCCAAGATTGGCGGACGGGGTTGTCGATGTGGTAGATTGGGTAAGGCTGTGTTGAGGTCTGCAGGAGGAGGTCTGACAGCGTTCCGGCTACCATGTCGACTGGTGTCCAAGATAAGCCGTCTTTGAAATCCGGCAGACAGCGAAGTGTCTGTGAGGACTTGACCAGGAAGCTGAGATGCTCTTGAGAGTTCCAGTATCCTGTTTTGCTGCTGCCGGCGACTTGGCCGAGTCTCACGCTCATGGTGCGGAAGTACGAAGGATGTTTCCCAAGTGTGTCGTCGAGCATTCTTTCACAGGCCCATTTGGCGTCACCGTAGCCGTTTGGCAGCACAGAGCCGATCTTGACTTTTTCCTCGGGTACGTTTGGCTTGCCAGTGAGGAAGGTATGGTGGCCGACGACGGCGATGGAGGAAATGAACTGGAATGAGATGACTCGAGATAGGTTGCTGCTTGCTTCGTTGCAGAGGTCAATGAGGTTGCGCATGGTTTGGAATTGCTGCTCGAATCGTTGGATTGGTCGGTTGCCGCTCATGGGCCACGCGTTGTGGACAACATGGGTGACAGTCTTGGTCAATTCCGTATACTGGTCTTCTGCAAGGCCAAGACGAGGCTTGGAGGTGTCGGATGCCAGGGCGATGCATTTGGCCAAATCTCTTTCGCTGATATCGATGCCTCGGTCCTTCAAGGCCTGTTGTTGCCGGGCGTCAGGGCCAAGGCTGCGAGATGGTCGGTTCAAACAAATGACCTTCGAGATGTTGGGGAGGGCGGCCAGATGAGCGACCAAATGGCTGCCTACGCTTCCAGTAGCACCAGTAACCAAGACCACGGAGGAAGCGTCGCTTTTAGAAGGGGAATTCGCTGAACGCCGAACAAAATCGCTAGTATACTTCTTCGCATATCCATCTACCGCAGATTCCCTTGCCGAAGTGTCGTCGAGCTGCTGAATAACTTCAGCCTTCACCGGCACAGGAAGTCGATCATGCCTGTCAAAAGCTCGTCAGAATCCCTTCGCCGAGATGGGGAGGTGATCATACTGGGATCCTGACGCCTTGGCGATGATGATACGCTGGATGGTGTTCTCAGGGTGGTGACCATCAGTGTAGTCGACGTGCCCGTAACCTGCTGCGTGGAGTTCCTTCTCCCAGTTCGACTGATGGGAGAGGGCGTGTGGACGTCCGTCGTCAAATAGCCACCAGCCTTCGAGCAGGCCAAAGATCATGTCTACCCAGCGGACTTGGCTTGTCATCTCCAGCATCATGACGAATCCGTCTGGTCGGAGGAACTTGTGGATGTTCTTCAACGACACAGGAAGGCTGTGCGTTGCGTGAACGGCATTGCTTGCAACGACAAGATGTTGTGATCCGACCAGGGATGCGTCCGACGGCGGCTTCTCGATGTCGTGGGCGAAGAATTTCATGAATGGGTAGGATTTGTACTTCTTGCGTGCAGCTGCCACGAACGAAGGCGACAAGTCTGTGAAAGTGTACTCCACCGGCACGTTGAACTCGGCAGTCAGTTCCGCCAGCAATGGGACGAGATATTGGGTTGTGCCACCTGTACCCGCGCCCATCTCAAGGATCTTGAACGGTGCAGAGCCTCCGGAGGGAAGCCGAGAGAACAGGCGTCTGACGATATCCTTCATCTGAGTGTAGAAGAGTTTGTTCAGGAGAGACTCGCCGTAGAGGCCTGCAACGAGGTTGCGGCCCTCTTCGCTTCCAAAGATGACTTTGACCCCGTCAGCTTTACCTTTAAGCACATCCACAAGGTAGCCGCCGCAGTAGTAGGTGAGGCGGTTGGCAAAGTTGTGGTCGGTGTAGGCTGCCACGAGGCTGTCGACGATCTCCTTGCTCGACTTGAAAGGTACGCTGACGGCAGTCCTGGTGATCACGTCACCATCTGTGTTGATCAGGCGACCATCGGTTTCCAGAACCTCGTACAGATACTGCACAAGTCGTCCATGCTGGGGGGCATACAGAATGCGCTCCAAAACATCGCCGGACTTGGCTGACTTGATCGGGCAACCGAGCTCCTCGAATGCTTCGACAATGAGGGCAATGCATAGCTGTGTCTGCTTGGGGTTGATGTTGTCAAGGTAGCCACTGCACTTGAAGTCTTCGATGAACTTGTCCGTTAGCAGCTTCGACTCCCCGAATGCTTCCAAGACGGCAGTCTCTGGGACTTGAAGATGGGCGGTAGAGTCGGGCTTGAGTTCTTCTGCTTCATCATCAGAGAGGTTCGTGTCAGGAGTCCCTGGGCTCGGCTCAGGAGTCTGCAAGCCAGTTGCATCACCCTCCTCACTGGTGGAGTCATCGGTCGACTCATTGCCGTCGATGGCATCCTCTCCAAGAGCTGCAGCAACAACGTTGACTACATCTTGGATAGTGGTGGCGTCAGCAAGCTGATCCATGTCGAGCGTGCACTTGAGAGATTCCTCCAGCTCGTGGGACATCTCCATTCCCATTAGAGAATCTATGCCAATGTCCGCAAGCATCGTCGACGGTTTTATACCATCGGTTTCGAGACCCGTCAGCTCACCTAGGGTCTCAATCACGGAGGACAGACTCCTAGAGCCACCCTCTTTGCTGGCGGGGGCTTTCTCAACCACCTTTGGCTCTACTGCAGGCTCTGGTTGAGCTGCGACGGGAGCAGCTGCAGCCGAACTCTTCTTTGCGGTGCTCGTCGACGGTGGGCCTGCGGTCTCGCCGGCATGTGGCGATACATACTGGGCTGCCTTCGACGGAGCAGCTGTGTCTTTGCTTGATGGGTTGTTCACAGTGAGTCGAAGCAGACTTTTCGTCATGGTCGACTTCGGGATTCGTGAGTAGTTGACACCCAAGATGACTTCGCGCAGTACTCCCGTCTCCGAGTCGTAGATGAAGATGTCGGTCGTGTACTGCTTGCTTGACTCCTTCTGGTGGATGGCCATGACATCCCACGAGATGGGGTTGTCGTCAGCCGCATCGTCTTCCTCAGAGGTCACACGCTGGACTTGAGGTGCTCTGACCCAGGACTCGAATCCAGCGGCGATGTACATATCTGTCGGCTTGCGATCGGTCATGCAGTTGACCCAGAAACCACCAACTTGGCTGAAGCAGTCCGACAGATGAGCGTCCAGCCACGAATCGGTAGAACGCTTCTTGACAACTCTTCCGGCGGACTCTCCGTCCTTTCCGACCAGCTTCTGCAAGCCATGGTATGGCGTGGAGTAGTTGACGATCTCACCAAAGGTCTTGTACATGTTGCGTCCCTGAATGATGTCGTCCGGGTCCTCGTGGTGAAGGAGATCGTGGCATCGCTTGTGGTTGATCATACGCTCGTAGCGGGCGAACTCTGCAGACAGCTTAGGATCTTCGGCTGAGCGCAGCAAGACCTGACCCTTTACGTGGAGCAACTTCTGAGATCCATCAGGACCATTGCTGTTCATTTCCCAGTCCCACTTGTGAGAGTCTGTGCAACGCAGGTCGACCCAAACAGATCGAGATGGGTTGACGCAGACGGGAATCTGGTTTGAGACGTTGTGAATCTCAGGCTGCAGTTTCGAAGCCTCGAAATCTGGGCGGAGACTAAGCAAGGCCTCAATGACAATGTCGATTTGAACTGTTGCTGGCAGGATCGGAGCGGTGCCGGCGACGACGTGTCCAGATACAAGCTCCTCATACTTCTTAATCATGGTGTTGACTCGGAAGCGAGCATGTGATCTGGCTTCGTCCTGGTATCCAACGAAAGTGAACAGTCCAGCAGGCAATGGCTCTTCCTTGACTGGTTCTGGTGCAGCCTCGACGACTGGCTGCGGCTTCTTGAGCTCTAGCCAGTGCTTAGACTTCTCAAATTGATACGCAGGCAGAAGAACGACATCGTAAAGTCGAGCTTGAGAAGCATGGTGATTCCAGTGGTGAACCAAGAGACCTTCCTTCCACAGATTGGTGAACATGTCCAACATGCTTTGTAGACCCGCGGAACCGCACATGTTGGCTGGCTGGAAGTGAGACGTCTTCGGTGGGCCAAGAGCCCTGCTTGCCATGTTGGTGATCGTAGAATTGGAGCCAGCTTCTAGCCAGATTGCGGAAGGGAACTTCTGGTTCAGCCTCTGGAATGCGTGATTGGCATACACTGGCTGGCGCATGTGCGAGGCGAAGAAGCTTGGAGTGAGCTTCGTGTCCGTGGGCTCTTCCGTTGCTCTCTCCCAGTGCAGCTGCGCCTTTGTGAACAGCATACCCTTCGCTAGCTTAGCTAGTTGTTCCTCCAGTGGCTCAACCAAAGTGGAGTGATATGCGTTGGCGACGCTGAGGACCTTGCTTCGGATTCCTGGCATCGAGCGGGCTGCAGCCTCAACAGCTTTGATGGCCGCGGTACTGCCAGCCAAGGTAAAGCTTCTGGGGCCATTGTAACAAGCAATCGATGGAACTCGCTCGCTCGATCCAGTCTCAGGGAATTTGCGAAGTAGCTCATGCACTTCGGAAAGCTCAGCCTCGACAGCGATCATGGCGCCAGAGTCAGGACCCCAGGAGTCCTTGACCAACTGGGCACGAGCACCAATGAGACGGATGGTATCCTTGAGAGACAAGACACCGGCCACGCACATGGCTGTCAATTCGCCAAAGCTGTGACCAACAACCGAAGACACTTCCACGCCTGAGTCGATCCAGCTCTTGGCACATGAGTACTGGAAGGCGAACAAGGTTGTCTGAAGTTTGACCACATCGGTGATAGGCATCTTCTCAAAGATAGTTGGGTAGATGCTTTCAAATCCAAGGGACACCAAGATGGAGTCGCACCGGTCCAAGTATGATCGGAGAAGGCCGTATCGATCATAGACCATCTTGTCGAGACCGATGCTCTGTGAGATTTGGCCACCGAAGCAGAGAATGACTGGACGTGGCTGTGGTCGGGTGGTAATAGCGCCACTGATTTTACCGTCAACGAAGCCAGTGAGCTTGTTCTCCAGCTCCTGCACAGAGGCACACTGGAAGATCAGACCGAGCGGTAGTGTGCGGTTAGATTGTCGAGCCAGGCTGTAGGCGATGTTGGCCACTGAGACCTCAACCTCCGATGACGCCTTTTGCTTTGATATCAAAGCTCGAAGTCGGATGCAGTACTCGCGAAGACTCCGTTCATCGGTGCCAGGTATCCAGAAAGCTTCTCCGGCGCTGATGACGGGCGGCGTGACTTTCCTCGTAGCGTATGCTTGAGAGATGACCATCGATGCGTTCGAGCCAGATGCACCATAGTTGTTGATCAATGCAGCACGGTATGCAGGCTTCCAAGGCACAAGCTGCTTGTTGATCTCGATCATGTCGTCTGGCGTAGCCTTGACCCCTGAGCTCAATGTCTGGAAGCTTGCTTGTGGTGGGACGTAGCCGTGGTATAGGGCCAGAAGCACTTTAATGAGAGCCATCACACCAGAAGCGCTCTCGGTGTGTCCAATGAGACCCTTGACGGACCCTAGGTGCAAAGGACTAGTACGGCGCGAGCGTCCACCCAAGACTCTTCTGATGCTCTCATACTCGGCAGGGTCACCGACTGGGGTTCCAGTGCCGTGTGCCTCCACTGTGGAATGGTTAGCAGAATTTTTTTTGAAAGAAGAGACGGAATCGGCTTACCCAGACTGATGTCTTCTCTCCTCAGTCGAGCCTTCTCGACTACATCTTCGAACAAAGTCGAAAGTGACGGAGCATTCGGTACAAAGATAGGCGTGCAGTTGTCGTTCTGATACACCGCCGTGCTTCGAACTCTTCCAATGATAGTGTCACCGTCGGCCACTGCTTGACTCATCTTCTTCAAGAAGACAGAAGCAATCGCCTCTCCACGGCAGTATCCATCTGCCTTTGCATCGAAGGGCTTACAGGCTCCAGTCGGGCTCAGGAATGTGGCACCCGCGAGGTTCTGGAACCAAAGCGGACTTGTCATAATCGTAACGCCTCCTGCAAGGGACGAGGTGCATTCGCCGCTTAGGATCGCCCTGCAGGCTTGATGGATGGCTACTGCAGAAGCTGAGCATGCAGTGTCGATCGTAAGACCTGGTCCAGACCAGCCGAAGTAGTGACTGATCTTGCCAGCGATGAAGCTCTTGAGATTACCGGTTGCAGTGAAGGCGTTTGGCGCATAGCATGCCACGTTGGCTTCGTAGTCTGCAGCACAAACACCGACGAAGACACCGACACGCTTGTCAGGGTTCGGTTGATTGAAATAGCCCGACTGTTCGACAGCTTGATATGCTGACTGGAGGAACAGCCGTTGCTGTGGATCTTGGGAAGAGACCTCTCGGGGCGACTTCTTGAAGAATCTGCAAACCTATTAGCAAACAAGGACATTGGCCAAGGCATCAAACAATCTTACTTGTGGTCGAAAGAGTCATGATCGCGGAGGAAGTTTCCAAACCATTTCCGGTTAGGATCCTTCTCTCTCCATTGGGTATCGAATGTGAATCGAGACTCAGGCACTTCGGTATGTTGTGATTCTCCTTTACACATGAGGTCCCAAAGCTCATCGACGTCGTCTGCGCCGGCGACTGCAGAATCGAATTAGCAGGGCATGCAAACGTCAGAAAATACAACAAACCTTTGCAAGACATGCCGACCACGGCAATATCATCGCCGTAATCAGACTCAGCTCTGCTGTTCAACGCTGCCAATTTACTCTTGGCATCTTTCTGATCTGCCATAAAGATGACCGGCTCGTTGATGCGGCGAAGGATTGTAGGCGGGATGCACTTCTCCTCGCCGAAGATGACATAGGATAAGCCCTCATCGTCAAGGCCATCGCCAACAACATTGTTGAATGTCGAGTACCACTGGCAAGGCTCCACCAAGATGTCTCGGAGAGCGATGTGGTGAAGTCGACCTTCCGTTATTGGCTCTCCGTCTGTTGTCGAAGAAAGCGGTACCAACAAAGATTTGGCTTCTGGCAGTTGCAACTCAGGTCGCTCCTCAGTAAACTTGACCAGATTTTCGAGGTTCTGACGATGGCCCTGCCAATGATATCTGCCGCGCAGTCCAATTTCAGATGCAACAAGACCCTTTTGCTTGAGCTGTTGACGAAGGCTTGCTGACTTGACGGCAGATGTCGTAACCGTTGCCCTTGTCTCATCATAGTATACAGAGGTATAGGCGTCCGAGTCATGCTCAATGACGGCTTTGAACTCTTCTTCTTGTTCTACTGAGTTCCATGCTGTTGAGAAAGAAGCCGAGTCTATCGAGGCAATGTCTGCTGCGTCCACCACGGCTCCAATGAGAGCTCCAAGCCGCACTGCAGTGGCTCCGTAGGTCTGAAAGTCGGCCTTGCTCTTTGCACAAGCCACAGCAAGCGCACTTAAAAAGCCAGTGCAAAAGCCAAGAACCTTGAGAGAGCGGGACTCAACGTTCCATGGATTCTGGCTGGGCTTGTTCTCAGTTGCGGTTGACTCGACGAATTGAGAGTACTGGTCCAGATGGCTGAGAATAACGAGAGGAGTCAAGATTGCGTTGGGGAGCTTCTCGATAGTCGGCTGAGAGGCATCTGAGTCTAGCCACTCGGAGATACTCCGGGCGAGTGCTGCAGATGAGTGTGACGCAGTGCTTGGGATGGAATGTCCAAGAGTTTCGAGATATTGAGGCAGCTCGCTAACGACCTGGCGCATCCACTGATTCTCTTTCTCATTGTTGATGGCTGATCGTAGCTGTTGGAACCATTTCTCTTGGAAAGACAAGGTCTGGGGTCCGAACAGGAGGACGGTAGTCGCTTCCGTCTTGGTGTCTGTGAAGTCCATGGCGCCGGGTGAGCGCTGAATAGAACTTCAGTCTGATGTTGAATCCACTCCAGGTTGGTTGAATAGTGTAGGATCGTAGGTATCTGCAGGCTCAGAAGTCAAACAGCAGCGGCATGGTGCAGCCATATGGGGTGTTGGCAAGATTGCCCTTTGCGGCCAAAGAATAGATGGCCGACGACCGGAGAAACTTGCCTCAGAGACGCTCTGGGTCCGATGGCACAGCCGACACTGGCTATCCCCTCAACGTCATCGTAGAATGTGTCACATAGCCAGCTGAGAGATTGGTTTGTGGTCTCGGCGGACTTACAGAAAGCCGTGATGGACTGTGCGCTGGGAGCCTTGGGCAAGCCTTCTCTCGATGGGCGGACACATGACCTTCGGTGAACGACAAGTTCATCGCGATCGATAGCAGTGAAATAGATCCATGCGACCCGTTTCTAATCATGTTCTGACTTGTCATCACACCCGTGAGGTCGATCTCCACGTGATGGACTGCAGTTTCCTCGTGCTGCCAAGCCTTTCCAGTCGACTCCACTTCATTGGCTGCATTGATTTCCTCATACAGCGGGACTCTTCTGGCCGGAAGCCTGCGGACAAGCCGTCTACCAAAACTCCGGTCGTGTGACCCTTGTTTGCTCGACTGTTTCTGTTCTTCTTCGACTCTTTTGCCTAGTGGTCTGTGATAGATACTCTTTCGATAGCGGTGCCCTGAGGCATCATGGCGGTACAACGGCAGACTCTTGCATTTGGCGTCTTCAGCTCGCATCTTGTATTGGCAGTCGCCGCACTCGTAGTATTTGCTGTGCTGATAGTATGTTGTTTCGTTGTTCTTGGGCGATCATGAGCTGACAGTACTATAGCGTGCCATCTACCAAGGCCTCACGGGTCCCACAGCCCGCCTGCCAGGCACTCTCATCTCCAGATGGACCGACTTGCCAGTGCGAGTGAGGACGTTGCTGAGTACACGAGCACAATATGTCCACTCACTTCATGAAAAATACGGTGCGTTCGAGAGTGAGCACGCAGCAATTCGCAGATGCTGACATGGTTCAGGTCCCGTAATTCGTTTGGGCCCCAATGATGTCGATGTCTCTGACGTCGATGCTGCTCGCGAAATCCACCGCGTTCGTGACCCCTTCCTTAAGTCCGAATTCTACGGGCCTGGAGGGCGTATCCAGAGCATGTTCAGTACGCGAGATCCTCAATTCCACTCTCAGCGACGTCGTCTGCTCGGTCCCTACTTTTCCGAGGCATCCCTGAACGCATTCGAGGACAAAGTCGCAGGCTTGGTCCAGGCCGCAGTGGATGGTATTCTCAGTGAGTCGAAACGCACCGGCTGTGCGGACATCTTGAAATGGTGGACTTTGATGGCGATGGATGTTATTGCCGACCTGACGTTTGGCGAGTCTTTTGGCATGGTCAGCAGCGGCGAGGTGAGCCAAAAGCGTCCGATTATCGTTTCAAGAGAAGAGTTTCAAGAGAAGAGCTTGTCTAACATTTTACCACAGAAAACGCAATTCGCTGAGGATGTTGGAAAGCTTGGGAGCATTTTACCGTTGCGCACCGCGTTCCCAATAATCTTCGCTCTTGGACCTTACCTCTCCTTCATCCCATTCTTCCACGAGATTGCGACCTCCAGAGAACGTATCCTCAAAGTCCAGCAAAAGCGAGTTGCACGATTCATGGAGCTCGTCGAAGCTGACGACAGCGCACGAAGCAAGAGTGTTTTCGGTGCTCTGGTCAAGAAGTCGAAGGAAACAGACCTCGCCCCCATGGATCTTATCATCGAGGCCCAATCCTTCATCACAGCTGGCACAGACACGACAGCCGTCACTCTCACGTACTTGATCTGGGCCGTGTGTCAGGATTCAAAGGTCAAACAAAACCTCCTGCGTGAACTGACAGACCTGCCAGAGGACTTCAAGAACAACGACCTCAAAGCCTTGCCGTACTTGAATAATGTGATTGACGAGGCCCTCCGTTGCTATGGAGCTGCGCCTGGGTCTTTGCCACGAGTCGTTCCCCCGGCTGGAGCGTCACTGGCTGAGCATACAATTCCTGGCGGCGTCGTGGTGTCCACGCAGGCTTACAGCTTGCATCGTGACGGAAACATATTTGAAACCCCTGAAAAGTTTGTTCACTCTTTGCATACAATTACATCATTTAATACTGACTCCGAAAAGATTCGATCCCTCTCGTTGGGAGAATCCTAGCAAGAGCATGTTGAACGCTTCCATGCCTTTCGGTATTGGACCACGAGGTGAGAGTTCGCCAAGATCTGTAGACATTCGAGAGACTCATTTGCTGACACTTTTCCAAGGCTGCGTTGGCATTCATCTGGCTCGTATGGAATTGCGACTCGCAACAGCAAAGTTCTTCAGAGCTGCGCCAAATGTTCGCATCTCGACGAAGGAGGACATGTCGAACTCTGATATGGACCCAACAATCTCGTTCTTGCTGATGCCGAAGGGTCACCGATGTTTGGTAGAGGTTTGAGATATACGGATGAAAACATGGGAGTATCCAAGTGACGAGGGCGTTGCACGACATAGGAATCGGAGAAGTATTTTCGACAGCTTCAGTGTTGATCAAGAACATAAAGTTATATGGAAGTGACGTAAATATCTTTCGTACGGAAAGAGTGATGGGCTGCAATGAGTTTGCGTAAGCACATTCGTCGACCCTTCTGCAAAGGGACCCATCGATAACGCTCGCGTATAAACCTGTGGAAATATAAGAAGCGGTCATGGACAAAGCTACATCATCCAAAATGTTGGGTTTACATTGTAAAATGTATGAAAATGGCTCGACTTCAGAGTTCACTACGTTGCTGTCTATGCCCTAAACTTTTGCAAAGAAGCCACGGTATCATCGACGCAGTCCTGGAACGAATGATACTTGATCCCAAGGATATCAGCCGCCTTCGAGCCATGGTAGTGGAAAGCATTGCTTCCCAAGTCATCCACAGCGTCAACAGGCAACTTGTCTTGAAGTTCGGGATGCGTAGCCCCAATCGTGTCGGCCATAATCTTATGAGAGAACTCGCCGCCTATAACGGCGAATCTCTCACCACCTGCGGCTTCGACTTCGAGAGCTTTGATATGAGCGAGGGCGATATCTCGGACGTCGACCCAGGTGTAGATTCCTGTGGGCGGCAATGGTGCGTCTCTGAACTTCCCTTGCATCAAAGCGAGAACTCGCTGGTTTGATGTGTTCAGCTTTTCCAAGCTGGAGAGGTGGTGTGCAACAGGTCCAAAGACAAGCGGTGGGTTGAGTGAGACCAAGTCGAAAGCCGGCTTCTCGTCTTTGACGAAATCCCAGGCGGCCTTTTCTGCGAGCGTCTGGGGGGTTGTTAGACTTGTACGGCATCTTCCAGTCTGGTCAGTCTCACCTTGCTGCCAATATATGTCAGACGAGGATTGGCTATCGCTGCCTCCCAGTTCACGGGATTCCATTGAGACTCATCTAGGTCATTGCCCGGATTCATCAACGAGACAACAGACGAGAGGACAACGACTCGCTTGACTTTTGATCCATGGGCTTTGACCGACCGGAGAGTCTCGAGCGTTCCTTGAACTGCCGGCTTCAGCATATCCTTCTCAGCGTCTTGAAAGACGAACGTGAAAGGTGATGCAGTGTGTAGAACATAGTCGATGTCCTTGTTCGTGGAGAAGACCTTTTGAAGCAGGGTCAGTAAAGAGCAAGAGATTGAGAGTTCGCCAATTCAGCCCACCTCGTCCATGGCTCCTTCTGCCGTGATGTCTTCGACGACAGCATACTGAACTGCCTTTCCCTGATGCTTCTCCACAACTTTGTCGCCCTGCTGTGGACTTCGCACTGTTACTAAGACATCATCTCTATCGAAAAATCGTTAGTACAAAGCCTGCGATTTTGCCGTGAGAGCGACTCACCCTCTTTCCACCAGCAACTCAATAATATGAGCTGCAATGAAGCCGTTTCCGCCTGAATTCTCGTCAGCGGGAATAATTTAACACAAGCATTTCCAACTCCTACCTGTGACTAGAGTTTTCACCATGTTGCTCGATGTTAACTTCAATGTGCGTGTTGTCTGACAGACCTTGATATTCCAATCAATGGAACTCTCCCCGCAGCTGTACTGCAATATTGTGGTGTGCTCGATGATCCCTGCCGGAGTTTTGGTTCCTCCAGAGCAATCCCCACTCCGAGCTTGCGCGAGGCTGCGACTGCAGGATGGCGACACAGTCAGCTCGCTTTAGAAGATGATAGTAGGCGCGAGCAGGACAATTGGGATCAGGTCAATTTGATGACATCCTCTTGAAAAGCCATTATCGTACTCAAGAACATCAGCTGTGCAGCAATCGTTCTCCCAAGTCTGCATTTGTCACCTAGTGAAAATGGCTCCGAACAAAAGTTTCGTCTTCAACAATGTGCCAACTGGCCTGCCAGTCGTTGGCGAGCACATATCGATCAAAGATGCCGCCTACGACTCCGACGCAGACTGCCCTGCGGGCGGCGTTTTGGTCAAATCTCTCTACGCCAGTATCGACCCTTACCACAGGTCTCGCATGCGACCAGCGCACATCAAATCGTACCAACCTGCCTTGGAGCCTGGAAATCCTTTGATTGCGAGGAGTATTGGCAAGATCGTCAAATCCGACAGTGAAACCTTCCCTGTCGACAGCCTTGTTGTTGGCAACCTGCCAATCCAAGAATACACCACGGTCGGAAAGGAGTTGATGCACTTCCTCAAACCATTGGAAGAGAAATCCAAGATCTCTGATCTACGTGTCCACCTTGGCGCGTTGGGAGTGCCTGGTCTTACAGCGTACGGAGGTCTCTACGAAATCGGCAAGCCCGCCAAAGGGCAGACTATCTTCGTTTCGGCAGCAAGCGGCGCAGTTGGACAGATGGTCGGTCAGCTCGCCAAACTCGAAGGCATGAAAGTCATCGGAAGCGTTGGATCAGACAAGAAACTTGACTACATCACTTCCGACCTAGGCTTCGACTCAGGCTTCAACTACAAGAAGGAGAGTCCAGCCGAAGCTCTGGCCCGACTCGCCCCCGAAGGCATTGATGTTTACTTCGACAACGTCGGAGCAGAGCATCTTGACGCCGCAATCGTTGCGATGAACGACTTCGGGAGAGTGGTCATGTGCGGCACAATCGCTGACTACAACACTGCTAAGGAGGATCACTATCCTCTGCGATCATATGATCTCATCTTTTCGAAGAGGCTCACTGTCCGGGGCTTCATTGTGTCCGACAAGGATATCGCCCCAAAGTATGCTGCAGAACATCAGCAGCGAGTGCGACAATTGCTGGAGGATGATGCAATTCGTGTGAAGACGTGGGAAGTCGAAGGCATTGATAAGGCACCGGATGCGTTCTTGGCTTTATTCACAGGAGGAAACTTTGGCAAGGCTGTGCTCAAGTTTTGAGTGAGAATAAATCGCATTCATACGTAGATCTCGAAATGCGGCACAAGTGGAATTGTGCAGTGTTGTCTTTGAGTTGAGTATCAAGCTTTGCTTCTCTCCAATTACGTGTACTTGAACAAGTGTGTCCGCTAAGTCCTCAGCAAGCAACTAATAACGCGGTAGAAGAAATTACGGATACGCAATAACCAGCTGAATCGGTGCTTGGGTCTTCATGATTTTCGTTCAACTCTCTCATTCTGTTCGATACTACTCGCAGGGTATGTGCTAACTTACACACCAAAGCCGTGCTCCGCGATGATCAACTCGGCAGCTCGTTCTCCTATCAAGTATGCAGTGGACTGAGTGTGGTGGCTAGATGCTGTTAGCATGAAAGCAGACGCCGCCCAGGAAATTGACTGTCGTGGCTTACCTGGGAATCACAGGGGTGACACTGAGGTCTGCTACCCGGATGCCTTGCAGCCCTTGAACCTTGAAGTCAGGAGTCACGCAAGTATCCTTGCGTCCAGGCTTGCCCATTTTCACCGACCCACATGCATGCCACAGGTGCGTAGCCGTTGTGCGAACATATTGCTGCGACTTGTCAGCTTTACAGATCATTGCATCATACACATATGTATTTGTCGACTCCACATACCGTGATGGCCTCTTCGTCGAAAGTCTTTGGCCCAACAGGCAGACCTTCGGTGGGAATGAAAGCGCTCTCCCGAATGATAGGAATGGTACACTTTATAGCTTCTCTTGCCAACTCCATGTCATAGGGGTGAGACAGAAGGTTCAGGTCAATGACAGGCGAGTCCAGCGGATCTCTGCTTCGGAGCGTGACCGTACCCTGAGATTGAGTGTTCATCAGGACCAGCACGGCAATCCACAGGAGACGACCTGGCTCGATTGGACTTGGCATCACACGCTGGATTATGAATTAGCTACAAAGTAGAGGCATGGTTCTGAGAGAATGCTCTTACCAGCAATAGCTCATGCGTGGGGAGTAGTGAGTTCATCAGATACTGTTGAACGTCCAAGTCTAACCCACTGAGCGTGGACAGTCTCGATGAGTCCATCCTCAAGTACCCCTGAGCTGCAGCCGCCATGTCCTCAGGCCCAGGCGCAAGTGGTGTCGCTGGAAGGCCATCTTCAGCGACTGTCGCTCCCAGCCTGACCATCGGATGATCCTTCAGATCTCGACCAATATGTGGCTGGTCAAGAACCGTCGGGATACCGAGCTTCTTCAGAGCACCTGCGTCTCCAACTCCGGAGAGCATGAGCAGCTTGGGCGTATCGATGGCTCCAGTAGACAAAATGACCTCACGAGAAGCATACCCTCAAACAGATCTGTCAGTACATTCATGGTGACGGAGAACATCAACTACTTACTTTTTTCGCCACCAATAAGTTGAATCCCTCTCGCCCGTCTGCCTTCGAAGAGGACCCGATGGACCTTGGATCCGGTAGCGACATGGAGGTTCTTCTTAGGGGCTTTCAAGTAGGCCGAGGACGATGTCACTCGCGAGGTCCCAAGTACTGTGGCTGGAGCCACTCCCATGCCGATGCCCTTCTCTGAGCTGATGTCTGTGTTGAGTGGTATCTGAGTTTCATCAGAGGGCAGCTACAATGACCTGTCATTCGGCTTACTTTGTGCTCTTTGATCGCCTCGAAAACGGATGGAAGGCATGGGTCCCAGATAGCTGGATATGTGACATCGACTGGTCTGTTTCATGTTAGCGCTCTCAGCAAGGAACGAGACTTGAATTCTCATACCCGGATTTACCACGAACAGCTGGGTTCGGCTGAACGTACTGTCTATAGGCTTCTGGAGTGAGGTCATGAAGATTTTCAATCTAGTTTTGTGACTTGTTAGCGATACGACGGTGTGACGAGCCACCAGAAGATGTACCTGAGCGAAACGAGCTTGAACATTGCTCCACTTCCACCAGTCGTCGCCAACCTGCTTTGCCCACTCATCCATATCTGGCTTACAGCCATAATCCCAGACCCCAATGTTGGTAGCAGATGAGCCTCCAAGACCAGTGCCACGGTGATATGCTAGCTCACGATTGTTCAGCGCTGCCTGTGGTGCAGTGACATACCCTCGATCAAGCTTGGAGCCACCACTGGCCCAGAAAGTGTTTCTTTCGCCAGCGATACGGAGGTTGGGCTCTTCGTTGGCTTCACCAGCCTCGAGAAGGAGAACAGATGGCTCGCCTGGAGCACATGAGAGCTTGTGTGCTAAGCTTGCTCCAGACGGACCGGCTGGTTTAATCAGTACACTGCTTTGATGAAAGTCGAGAAGGACATGAGCCTGTACTTACCGCCGACAACAATGAAGTCGTAAGTCGAGATCGTCATGGTTACTGTTTGAGCCTCAGAACAAAATCGGTAAGGCTGGAGTGGGAGTCAGCATCGATCTTCAGATATCGGCAGGATTAGACCTGAGTGTTAGTCGACCGGACTGTCGGTGGTCTCCGAGTTACTCCCATTCATTTCCTCCATGACGGTGTGTACAGACCGAGTTGCCCAAGAAACTCCGGTCGTATACGTGCGTCATCGGTCACCCGGTGGTTCGGTGTCCTTACTAGCCCAGTCACGCCTTCAGCCTTGCAACGTGGGGCGGCAAGATCGAAAGCCGGACTTGTGTGCACCAGTTAATAAAGGTATTGGGAATGTAGTCGAGTGCGGAAATCGTTGCATTCCGATGCTAGAGCACGCGCTCAAGTCTACCTCCCAAGTCAGATCCGGCTTGAAGCCAACTCCTTCAAGTTTACTGTAGTGTTTCTGACCGCTGCCTTGTGCTCCGTAGCAGATGGGCTTCTACCAAAACGAGGACACAATGGACAATACAGATGGTATGGAAAGAACGTGAAGAATGACGTACACTCCCGCCGCTCTTACATTCGAAGGACCGCGCCTGACTTGGGAGGTAAGCCCAAGTCATAAGCGACATCCTCCAACGTCAAGCTGTCTGTTCACGATGTGTGTATATGGTGTTCTATAGCACCGATTTTATTCGCCGTCGCATGTCCCTCTCTAACAAATAAATGACCCCAAATCTAACTGTACATCGAGCGTCTCGCCAAGAACATGCTGCCAGGTTTCACGTTGGCGTAGTGATTCGCATCCAAGCACGCATTCCGTGCGTTGACGGTGGCTGGTCTCGTCCGAGATATCATTTCCTCCTCATACTTGCTCACTACATCCTTGATGTCGATCTTGCCAGCTCCACTCTCTCCTAGAAGACGCAGCAGGTTGCAGACGTCGACCACGCCGTGATTTGCATTCTCACCTCGGACTGCTCGAAAGTTAGTATCTCGAGATTGGCCTGAATGAAGAGTGTGAATCACTTACAAGATGTCATCAGATGTGCTGCATCACCGACTACTGCCACTCGCTGATCGGTCTTGCGTTCTCTCTCATTGCTTGGAAGCCACTCCTCGATGTTCACAGCGCGAAGAACGCTGTCGTCGGGTATATTATGCAAAAGATCTCGAACAGGGCTCGCCCAGTTCCGAGAGATCCTCTTCAACAGATCCCGCTTCTCATCAAAACTTTCTGGCGGATCTGTACCCTCCTTCTCGCCTAGATAGCCCCTTTCAAATGGCCAGCTAATGGTTAGCTGCACTGATGCGGGACCGTTCGGTTGGTCTCGAGGGGGCATGTCCAGCAGCGCGTACATCCAGTATCCGTTCTGTTCAGGGTCTCCTCCGTGGAACAAGTGTGGGTCGATGTCGTACGATGTCTTCAACTGACCCATTGGGTACGTGACACGAGCATTGATCATTCGAATAGGCAGTTGTCGATTTTTGGAGTTTTCCTCGCCGTACAGGAAGCGACGCACGACAGATCTCGATCCGTCAGCTCCGATCAAGAGGTTGCCAACGGCCTTTTCGCCGTCTTCAAACTCGGCGCAGACAGTGTCAGAGTCTGGAAACGTAATGTCTGCGAGCCGCTTCGAGAAGTGAATGTCAAGGCCTTCCATCAGGAGGTCGATGAATTTGACACGGGCCATGCGAGCACCTTTCCAGCCTTGCGGCACTGGGACGCGAATGAGAGGCTCGCCAGTAGACAGATTGAGGTATGTGAAACTGCCCATGTCGCCAGCCTCGAGTGCCGCAGGATTGCCAACACACTGGTAGATACGGGAGGCCATGTCATCGGGAAGAATCTCTTCCAAGTGCTCCAGGGCCCAATGAATGGTCAGACTGAAACCACCTCCTCGCACCATCTGCGAAGCATCTCTCTCATACACAGTGCAGCTGTATTTGGGTGGGAAGCCTTGGGCTTCGAGCTTCTGATTCAGCTTGCGCAGGCCATGGGCCAGTATCAGACCAGTGAGGCCCGCTCCGGCGATCAGGACATGTGTCTTGCCGTCGTTCTCTTGAGCAATGCCATTGAGGCCGCTGGCTTGCTCGTCGTTCATGGTTGGGTTGTAGGGATGAGTTGCTCGTGCTCTGAGACAAAACAGATGAAGTTCCTCAACTGAACGACTTTCAGGAGGATGGATTGCGTTACGTGGTCAACAGCACCCATTGGACGCATGCACTTGGCCGCACTGGACGAATGACATTATGTTTAGAACGGAGAATCTTGCAATTCAGCAACATGGCAAGTCCGCTTGTTGTCTCGCTACGGAGATGTGCGAATGCTCGGAAGGTGTGCCGTGTTCGATTTGGAGCGCCTCAGCTTGTCTTGCAACAACAATAACTCCGAGCTCCAGCATCCAGCTGTGTCAACGCAGTGTAACTGTATAAAACCATACACATGCCCTGCTCAAGTCTTGGCCATTGTTCACTGATCAACACAGGCTCCACTATGTACTTCTCATTCTCTTGGCTGTGGTGGGTCGCCGCCGTTGTGCCGCAGGTTGCTGCTTTTCCCTTGAATGACTTCAGCGAGGCTGCGACAACAAACTATAGTGCCATCTATTCGCCCTGTCTTTCCAAAGGCGCCCATATTTACTACCCTTACCAGGCAAACTACAACACATCAGTTCTGCAGCGGGCGTCAACATGGGATTCGCCAACTTTCGCGGTGACCGTTAAGCCTGCGTGCAACTCGGACGTACAGTGTGTGGTAAGTTGGACATCGAATTTCCAAACTCAGCTATCCTCGCTAATTCATGTTACAGGTCAAGCAGTCGAACAAGAACAACATCAAGTTCTTTGCCACTGGTGGCGGTCACGGCGCTGAGCCTGGTTTCGCCACGGTCCAGAATGCTGCCAACATCGACTTGTCGGGTTTCACCCAAAACGTGCTCGACACCGCCGCCAACAGGCTGACTGTCGGTCCTGGAGTCTCTTTTGTCGACTTCGAGACAAACCTGTACAATGCCGGCAAGCTTGTTCGTAAGTGGCATCGAGTCTCTTCGACGCAGTAGCTGGTTCCAAATGGATTCTGACATCTTGATCAAACAGCTGTTGGAAACATCTACTGCGTTAACATGATCGGAGCCACAATCGGTGCGGGTATTGGTCCGTACCAAGGGCTCCACGGTCTTGTCATTGATGCCCTTCGATCTGTGACCTTGATTACCGCCGCAGGCGACATCGTCACCGCGTCGTCTTCGCAGAACTCTGATCTTTTCTGGGCTGTCAAGGGAGCGGGAGCCAACTTCGGTATCATTACATCGGCGACTTACGAGATCTTCGATGCGCCCAACGCAGGAAACCTGGTCGAGGCGGACTTTGTCTACCCGCCAACTGCCAACGTTTCGGTCTTCAAGCTCCTGCAGTCCATGGACAAGACCTACCCAAAGGAGATGGGAATGACCATTGTCCTGGGCTACAACCACACTATCAATTCAGTAAGTCGTACTAACAGGCGTAATTTTCATATCGGCCGCTGACATTAGGCTAGTCGACTCTGGGCGTGACTTTCTCCTACTTCGGCACGCCAGCTCAGGCCAAGCCAGTCGTTGATCAGTTCGTTGCATTGAAGCCAGTGAGATGGCAAAATCAGACCATCCCATGGAGTCAGCTCAGCCAGAAGCAAGGCTTCGGCGCCTCTGGCCCAGCTGCTTGCATTCGACAACTGTGGAACAATCACTACTCCGTTGGAACCAAGCAGACTGACCCAGCGACGTACACAAGTGTCTTCAACAGCTTCAATGCCTGGGCCAAGGGCAAGACATGGTACAATGGCAATATTGCGATCCAGCGGTTCAACACCAACGTCACCCTTTCGGTGCCCACCGAGCAACAGGGTGTTTACCCTGGACGTGAGATTGGAACGATCATGTATGTCTAGAGAGCGATTCGGCTTGAGGTTCAGTGACTGACAAACTTCTGCAGCGTCATCAACAACTTCTACGACGGCCCTGCTCATGACGAAGCAGTCTACCAGTTCAGCCGCCCCATCCGTTCTCAGCTTGCTGCCACCAGTGGCTTCAGCAACCTGACTACTTACATCAACTACGCTTTTGGAGATGAGGGACCCAACGTCTGGTATGGCCAGAGCCATCTCCCAAGACTCGTAGCCACCAAGAAGAAGTGGGACCCACAGTACAAGTTTGGCCCAGGCAACCCAATCCCAACAAGTGCATGAAGTTTGCATGCAGTAAATAATGTTTCATGGGAAGCTTCTTGCATCACGACAGATGGGAATAGCATTTGAAACGAATCATAGAAGATAGAAGACGTTGCACGTGAATTCACGTGCATCAAAAAGCATCATACTTCGTGCGAGACTTTGCCTCATTTGTCAATCTGAAAATAAATATACAACTAGAGAGTCATTAGACGGTGCGAGCGTGCATAATGAGCTGTTTTCGATGATTCGAATATTCATGTTTGTGCTGTCCATTTGTGTTGGCGACTCTTAAGCCTAGAGCAATGACCGGATCTCATCCAAGTGTTGCATATCTACAGTAGGACGTACAGCACCGCCATCCCTCCGAAATTCTGAGCTACTGAGCTCTCGACTTTACTTCAGATTGTTTAGACAGCCCATAAGGGATGGGATTCGGTAGCTCACTGTAGACAGATTGAGTAGGAAATGCTTGACTGGCTGTCATCGAAACTTTCTACGCCCCGTATCAAATTCAGGGCCCCAGACTACAACGTAGGATGGACTGTTGTTGATTCACGCTGTCTTGACGGCTCCACGAGTAATTCATCTGACAAGCCGCTGGTGCGTGGCAACAAGTCGAAGCTCACAGCCTTGGGTTACTGTAACCGTATCCCTGTTCCTCGGGGACCGGAATGGGAGATGCATGATGTTATTCAATATGCTTCAAACGGAACGGGGTTTTCGAGACTCCGCAGGCGCCAGACTCGCACACGGATTACTTTGTCCCAATAAAACTTGACACCGTCAAGCAACAGAACGAGCCTGCAGCAGAGGCGACCCCAAATACCATACGACACATTTCATTCGATTCACAATGAGCGCAACCGTAACATTTGTCGACGACGTGCAGTCGCGCATGGGCAAGCAGCTGAACATCACAGAGGAGGAGGAACCTCAGGACAGCGTCTCCCAGTTTCCTTTCCTCAACGGCTACACTCACGCCATCTACGGCTTCCAGATCAAAGACGGAACCTCCAGAGACGAGGCCACCAATACACTCAGAGCCGCCGTCAACAAAGTGATCGATCAAGTGCCATGGCTTGGATACCAGATGGTGCAAGTGGTCGGAGGCCCTCCCGGCGTTTTTGAGCCAGGACCTTGGCCAAAAGACGCTGCTCCGAATGAGATCATACGGGTGCAAGAGTGTGATGACCAAGTTGACACTTTCTCCTCGATCTTCAGAGGCTACGCTCCGATCAGCAAACTGCCCGGAAAGCTCTTGACTCCCTGGCCCAGTCTTCCGGCTGCCCATAGCATCGAAGGACCAATTCCCGTCATGGCGTTGAAGGCCAACTACATCAAGGGTGGACTGCTCCTGAACTTCAGCTTGCATCATATGGCTGTTGACGCAACGGGCATTCTGCAAGTGGCCCGCCTCATATCTTTGGCAATGAACGGCGAGGTCTTCCCAGCCGCAGAGCTCGAGCAGGCCAACCGTGACCGTCGTCAAGTTGTGCCTTTGATCCCACGAGGGGAGCCTGTCAAAGACCAGAACCACATTCGTCGTCCTCCTGGCTGGACGCCAAACCCACCTGTCTCTCCGCCAAAATGGTGCTACTTCAAAGTGCAATTCCCTGCTCTTCGAGCTCTGCGTCAGCAAGGCACTGCTGAGGGAGGGATGGTCTCAGACAACGACATTCTCTGCGCCTTCGCCTGGCAGCGTCTCAGTGTTCTACGAATCGCCCGTGGAGTGGACCCCAACATCATGTGCAAGTTCACTCGTGCAGTGGATGGACGAACAGCGTTGGGTGTTCCGTCCAGCTACATGGGCCACATGATCCATCACTCGAGTGCACGTCTTACCATCGGCGAGGTTGCCAACTTCTCCCTTCCCAAGGTCGCTCAGGCTCTTCGCCGAGAGCTGAACAGCGTCAACAACGCATGGACATTCCGCAGCTACGCCACCTTTTGCGCTCGCGAGCCGGACAAATCGAAGCTTGCTTTCGGTGGCCTGCGAGACGTCAACTACGACCTGGGTGCCACATCTGCTCAAGGCGGTGCAATGGATGAGACAAGAGGAGAGGAGGAGAAGTTTGGCCTTCTCGGACCATGCAAGTTCATCCGCCGGCCTGAGGTTGCTGCTATTCCCGGGACGATCACTGTCACGCCTGCAGAGGGTGGGGCGCTGCCGTTGGTTGTTTGCTTACCTGAAGTGGATTTGGAAGGTCTGAAGAAGGATGTGGAGTGGAAGCGATATACCAAGTATGTTGGATGAGCGGGCCTCGGCCCTGGGTTGTAGCGAAAGCGGTAGTCGCAGGATCTACAATGCAATAGTGACGCGTACCTCTCAACACGTTCTGAGCTTTCAATGCTTGTTTTCTTGTCGCAGATAGCCGCCATCTTTTTCCCGATGTGGCTTTTGCTTTTCGTCATCCTTTCGGCTGTTGGCTGCATGTTAGCGTCATGCTAAGTTTAGACTTTGCGCTAGCAACGCCGGTGAGTGAATGCGTCGAAGCACGTGGCGGAGTATCTGTTTGTCCGCTGAGATTTCAGGGTCAAGCTGAGGGACGCCTTCAGGGACCACAATCACAAGTTTTTGAGTCGAGGTCCCTGCGTCCACGTGACATTTATCGCCCCCATGCGAATCAGACTTCATCCTTTTGCATGGCTGACGACTGTGGCACCATGGTGGACTGCAACACTTCTGTGAATACTCCATTGACTATCTACATCAACTCCCTCGTAAATGCCCTCTCGGACTGCAAAACCATTTGCTCGACATCGTAATCCCAAATCTTCCTCGACCTCCACTCAATCTCCTCCGCACACTTCCCCAGATCACTGCCAACTCTCTTGTCCTGCCACTGATACATCTCACCCACGAAGCGACTGGTCTCGACCAGCCATTGTGCTCTCTCTCGGCGTACTGAGTCATACGCCTGCAAAGCTGCGGTGATGTCTTTTCGGGAGTCGCTGCTGACGGCACTCAGCAAATGGGCAAGTACGGCACCGTCTTCAATTGCGAAACCTGCTCCTGCACCATGATATGGCGCTGCAGCGTGAGCAGAGTCACCCGCGAGGCAGATACGGCCCTTTGAGTAAGCTGGTGGGGGATTGTCGTAGGTATCAAAGACAGCCCATTTATCGAGCTGCTCGGGCAAGAGGTCGATGATGGATCTCACGGTTGAATTAAATCCTGAGAAGGCTTGGACAGCGTCCGCTTTTGCTGCCGGAGATGTGAATTTCTCAGGGAACGGCCAGTCGTGAGAGTCTGATGTGAAGGCAACGACGTTCAGGATCTGCCCACCGGCGACTGGGAATGTGAGTGCGTGGCTATCCTTGCCAAGGTACATGTGTCGTGTATCGGTCTTCTCGACACCCAGAGCTGCTCTTGCCTGGTGCATTGGAATTAGACCACGGAAGGCATATTTGTGACTGTATGTTGGATAGGAGGCTGGGTTGTCGGCTCCCAGGAGAAGCTGCCTCACTCTTGACCGAATGCCATCACAGCCGATCACTAGATTAAAGTATCTGTCAGCATGTGTCCATGGGAGAGAAAGATACGAGATTCAACTGACCAACATCGGCACACTCCACACTCCCATCCGTGAACTTCAAGTGCACAGGCCTCTCATCCTCCCACTCAAACTCCTCAATCCGATCCACAGTCTTGCCAAATCTCACAATACCGTCTGGCATGAGCCTTACCAACTCATCCAAGAACTCAGCACGATGACATCCTTCAAACCCCCTTTCTCCAAGGTACATTTTATGGATCAGGCTGCAATCCTCACTCATCCCATCCATCCACATGAACCAGTCTGTTCCATTCTGAACCGTCACTCGCTTGAATGCCGCGTGGATTTGAGGGTCGAGGATCTTCATCGCTCGTTCAGCATTGCTGGTGAAGCCGATTCCTGCTCCAATTTCTCGAAAGCTGGCTCCTCGTTCGTAGATGGTGACAGAGATGCCGCGGGAGAGGAGGCCTAGAGCCAGAGTTACGCCTGCGATGCCAGCGCCGACGATGGCGACGTGGAGCTTAGCTGGGTTGTTGGTCGATGGAGGGTCTTTGATAGCCATCTTGGTGGAGACTGAACAGTGCTGGCGGTGTCAATGTGGTCGTGTCTGTTGTAGATGCAATTCAATGCAAATGCGGCTATCATCATGCAGCCTGACCATGCCACGACCTGTGCTCAATAATGCACCATTGCACTATGACGATGCTTTGGTGACCGAATGCCTCAATGGCACGTGCGTCCCACGAGGTGTGTTCGGAGTTTCTGCTTCATTGATGTCCGGAGAGTGGACAAAGTCACGAGGCTGGGCTCATGGGAGCTTGCCCTACCAGCCTAGAGGTCTGGTGGCATGGACTACGATCAAGGAGCATGGAGCCACGTGAGAGGCCGTGCAGCGGAACATTTGTACTGCCGAAGTATGTGTCAGGCCTGCTGTCTAATTTTGTATTGTCATGACAAACGTTTTCTACACACCTTCGCTCTATCTGTGCACCCCACGTGCTTTTTTTGTCTCTTGTGCAGACCGAAACGTCTATGCAATATACAAAGTCCGAAATAATGCAACTTTCATAATCGTTTCCGTTCCAGATGGAGGTCTCAGACCATCGATGGATCCAGCGTGAAAGGAGGCTCGCCTGTGCTCTCGCCTGACCCTCTCCTTGAGTCATCGCCAAATATGTTTATCCGTCGTAGATTGTCCAGTGCACTTGATGCCAGCTTTAATTGTTCTGAAAAGCCCCCGCCGTTGTCGTTGAAAGCTTTGAGGCCCTGAATGCAGACATAGAGTGCTATCGGGCAGAAAGGGTGTGCCTGTAGAAGAGTATCTGTCAGATTCATGATACTGGTATTCGTAGTATGCGGGCGACGTACCTTGAAGCAGCTCATCTGTGATAATGTGTTGGAGATGTTAGACACCTCGCACACAGCCGTGAAGAGAGAGGGTCCATAGGCGTCGACCAGTGCTCGGTTAGCCCCATCGTGGTTGGGAATGAACTCCATCATCGTATGATACATATAGAGGACCATGGCGTGGACCATGACACGGGTGAATAGATAGATCGGGTCGGCATGTCGCATTTGTGACTGGGTCTGCTGCATGGCGGCCACCTGTGGGATCAGCAATCTCTCGATCGCACGATGTCGCTCCCAGAAGGCCTGGATGGGGTTCGCTTGGGCTCGCTTGGTTGTGCACTGCTGGCGATGGGTGTGTGCCCAGCCACAGATTGTGGCGACGATAATGAAGTCGGTCAAATTATTGCTTGGGCCGGCCCTGTCCTGGGGGAGCATGGCATCGGACAAGAAGTTCATCAGGACCGGTTGTCCGGACTGGAAACTGATCTCCGGAGCGGGCATGCGAACGTCCGCCTACATAAAGTCGTTAGAATGGACCGTCTCATAGAAGAAGTTGGCGTTCATGCATACCTGTTCACTGAACGTCCGGGGTGAGCCATTACTCAGACTGATGAAGCAGTCTAAGGAGTAGGCCATCCAAAACGTCCGTCGTCGCTCCTCAGCTTCCACCCATTCTGACTGGGATCGGAGATCGTCAGAACGATCAATTTCATGCAGTTTCATGAACTGGATTCGACGAAAAGCACGGCCTGCACTCATCCAGCCACGGCGAAAATCAACTCGAACAAACTCGTAAATGGCCAGGAGTAGCCAGGCCTGGGCTTGGACGACATCAGCCAGATGATCACTGTTCCAGCTGTTCTCCAGCTTCTCTAGCTGCTGCCTCGCTTCGGTGTAGAGGACATTGGCTGTGGCGAGAGGCTGGGCTGTGGCGGATGTGGCCAGCGCCCACATGCTCTTCTGGAGGCAGACCTGCTGCTCTGTCTTCAAGGTGTTGTTGCTCCAGGCATAATAACTTTGCTCGTGGATGATGGGGATGCAATTGTGGACTCTCTCAAAGTACGCTTGATCACTATGAAAGGGTTAGTACGGCGTGCTTGTGTTTGTGTTTGATATACAACATACCGGTCTGAATGGTACAAGTCGGGCAGCAAGGCTGCAGTCTGATCGAGAGGGGTGGTATTCAACATATCGGCTGGTGGCACGAGGGGATTGTTGAAGTTGGAGGCCATATCCATGGCTGGTAGTCCTTCCATCAAGTCCATTTGACCGGACACTTGTGGGAGGAGAGCCATGACATTGTCCATGTCCTCACTGGTTTGAGGGAAGTCCGGGAACGTGGGTGGCGTGGCTGGATTTGAAGCAAATGAGAAGTCGGCATCGTGCCAGATCCAGTTGCAGAAGCTTGAGACAGAGGGGTGGTCGACGGTAGGAGGAGGACTCATATCGATGGGGTTTCCCGTAACATCGTTGCTGTTAGCGGAGGCGTTCATGGCTTGACCGTCGGTCGTGGTGGCGCCATTGACGGTGGCGAGGCGTTCCTCCATGGCAGCTGCGAAGCTTGTCAGCGTCTTGTCGAACATGCCAATCTCGGAAAAACCCCTGTACACATACATAGTCGAGCCAGCAATGTCTTCATGTGGCCACGCTTCGGTCCACGTTTGCGAGAAGGCGGAAACACACAGTCTTCGCCACTCTCGGCACAGAGTCCGCACCGGGGTTGCTGGCGGTCACATCTACAGGGTTAGATCAGCATCATGCGAGGAAACAATATCAATCAAAGGGGTGAGAGGTGGCATGACTTACCGCAGCTTTCGTCGTCTGCATTCTTCGCAGGCACTTCCTGGCTCCTGACGAGGACGAGGCTGGCCGTCACGGGACGGATCGGCGCTGTTGCGAGACATGGATGCTAAGAGTGACAAGCCTTGGACAGCACGTGCTAGTGGAGCTTGGTAGAAGTCCAAGAGATGGGACGGAACCAGGTCAATCGATCTGAGTGTTTAACGAGAGTCGATGGCTATCGAGAGAGGGGGTTCACAGCAGTTGATGTATCATTCTGAAGATGGATCTGCAGCTTCCTTCGACCAAAGATCCCGGAAATGTACGTGCAAGCGTGCGTGGTGTGATTCGCGAAAATGCCTGACGGAGGGAATCCAACGATCAATGGACTACGTCCGAAAAGCGCAATCAATCGACAAGGTGCTTTAGAGCAGATCATCAGCAGCGGCTGCGAGTGAAACCGTAAGCCTCCACGCCGGCCTCAGCTGTTGGTGTTGTGTCACGATCAGTAGATGTATCTGGAGTTGGCCTGCAGCAATCTTGGTGATACCAACAACCGTGACCGGAGTCTTGGCTAGAGCTGAACGCAAGGGTTGTAGCTTTGGTGTTAGCGCGATCGAACCTCGCAACAACGTGCCCCACGCGGGTTGTGGGTGGGCAAGAGTTGTTCGGAAGCGTGGACTTGTTGATCACACACGTGGGTTGGGTGTGCTGTGTTGACAGGGGGCCCAGTGCCTCTGCTGCGAACGAAAGAATAGCGTGCACGAGGCTGTGTGGACACCAGCGGTCGGCCCTACTGTGAATAGTCACTTGGTACTCACCAGGCATTATCTTCACAGCTGCCTAGTTGGGAATCGCGTATTCAACGATCTTGCCTGCCAGCTGCGGTTGTATCTGGGACGCCTGAGCCCTAGGTGGGTGCCCTAAAATGGTGCAAGTACCCAAGTACACAGCTTGCCCGAACGCTAAAAGCTTCGCGAGGCTGCCAACGCGAGACTGCCGAGGGTCGTACAGATTCGTAACGTGTTGGAGATCTACGGCCTGCAGCCTGCAGCCCCATCGACCATACCCGTTCGGGGGTGGGCCCGTCAGATGCGATAATCCCATTCGCCGGCGATCGCTGGGTGCGAGCAAGCTTCCGTGCCAACACCTGCTGGCATCCAGCAACGTGCAACTCCACGCGGTCAACGTGTCTGCGGCTATTAAGCTTGTTACGTCCAAATCGACGATTGCTTTGCTTCTTATCGATTTGCTGCTCACTACTTCGTAAGTCCCCGGAAGACATGCCTGCAAGGAATCGACCTAAATAGATTGGCCGAGTCGCCGCAGCGGGATGGAGTTAAGCATCCCTATGTGCTTTGTCATCCTCCAGGCCTGCACTACCTACCGTGCCCGGAGAAACGTTGTGTCGGCGGATCTGTTTGCTGTCTCCATATCCGGACTCGACACCGGTCTGCTGTGCAGCAGAGCCATGCCCCAGTGTTTCGTAGGGCTGGAGCCTTCGCTTCCTGTGAGCAACGGTCCACGCGGCGAGGCAAGCCCACCTGCTTTGACTGGACACTTGGGCCTTGCACTGTAAAAGGCCTGCCAGCCGAGTATGCTCGAGTACCCATGAGCCAACGCACTGACCCGCCTTTCTTTCACATACCTGCAGCCAAAATCATCAGCATATTGTGCTCAATAACGACAATATGACTGCTGGAAAGCCACTAATCGTGCAAGAGCATCGGGACTTGTCCCTCCCGCGGATATTATGCCTCCACGGCGGCGGCTCGAATGCGAGGATCTTCAAAGCCCAGTGTCGAGCTTTGAGCAAGCAACTGGCCCCATTCTTCTTGTTGGTGTTCGTCGAAGGCCCCTTTCCATCCGAGCCAGGCCCAGATGTCACTTCAGTCTACCAACGCTTCGGGCCATATCGTCGTTGGGTCAGGTCAGGGCCGCAGCATCCAGAGATTGAAGCCTCCGAGGTCAAACTGGAGATAGACCAAGCAATCCTGTCGGCAATGAAGGAGAGCGATCGTCAAGGAGCAACAGGCGACTGGGTGGCGTTGATGGGCTTCAGTCAGGGCGCCAAGTTGGCAGCCAGCTTATTGCTTCGACACCAACTTCATGCAACCAACGCAATCTCATCCCTTGCATCCGTTCGGATTCGATTTGCCGTGCTCATGGCCGGCCGAGCGCCCCTGGTATCCCTCGACCCATACACGCAGTCAGATCCAGCATTCTTAGATGCAGGAGATTTCGCGCCAATGGACTGCCTGTACGAATCCCTCTGCAGATGTCAGGATGCGCACCTCTTGCGCCTACCAACGATCCACGTGCATGGTCTGAAGGACGCTGGTCTGGTCTTACATCGGGCTCTTTCAGCCGCACACTGCTCGCCTGAGTCCACGACACTTGTGGAGTGGGATGGCCAACACAGAGTGCCCATCCAGACGAAGGATGTGCTGCCAGTGGTGGACGCCATCCTGGATACTGCACAAGCCACCGGAACGTTGAGGTAGAATGCAAGATCAATAAGCTGCTTCTTCTGCAGTCAGCCAGTCAGATTGGGCTCGCCAAATAGAGTGCACGAGTTGCCCGGGCATTCGAGGGCTGTGTTGGAGCATCTTTGATGGGAAGCGAAGCCTAGCTGTTCCAGGAGGTGAACGGCGAGGAGCTGCGGGATTCTTTGAGATCATGTTCTGGTTGGAGTTTAGTAGGCCAACACAAGCACGCGATGCACTACTGCAGTGCGAAGTGAGACGTATAATGGAGCTGTTCCAATGGGGCTAGCAAAAGAAGAAGCCCTCGACACAAGAATCGAAGCCCCTTTTTAGCGCCGCAGTAGTGTCGTCATCGACTCGACGAGATCTACAGGACCAACCCGAGCTACCCGATTGCGACCTCCTCGTTCGTTTGTGCATGCATATTCCGGCCCGTCCTCCGTTCGACAAGCTTCACACGTGCCATGCGCCTAGTGTAATGGTTTCTGATTCTCCCGTTCTTTTGAAACAACTTCTACAGCCCCAATCCTCTTGTACACATCATCGCCGATTCAATATCATTCCCTAGATGCTCTTGTTGGCTCTATGTGCTCTGACCAGCTGACTGGATCCCGCCTCCCCACCTATGCTTTTCTAGTGTATCTGCCATGCGACCTGATACGAGCACCGTAAATATAGAAGACGATGGGGATTGGTGTCAGCGCCAATGCACAGCAGCCGAGCAAGGTCGTCGCCCAGAACACCTGTTAAAGCATGCCGTCAGCCTCGGAGCCTTTTTGCGTTTTTCACACTTCCGACCAGTCAACTTACATGGAGTCTGCCATACAACGCTGGGGCGAACAAAGGGAAAAGACCGCCGACAAGCGACCGCACTATGACTGTGCCCGAAATGGCAGAGTTCGCGCTCGTGAGATAGATGTCGATTAGGTATGCCAGCGACTGGAGCGAGATTACCTGGATTCCAAACCCCAATGGCACGCCGCTGAGGATTTGAGGCCACGGGTTGATGTTTGGCATCGATGTCCAGGCGAACCAGAACAGGCCGATGGTCAACCAGACCGCTCCAACTATCATGGGAGGAAGACGGTCTTCTGGCTCCAACTTGCCATTCTTCATGGCCTTGGCACGAAGGGTGGTGTACGAGTAGTTGGTAACATATGTCGCACCGATAATGATGCCGACACAGACTGCAAGCAGGGGGAGGGTGCCGGCGGTGAGTGAGAATCCGCGTTGTTGCACGAAGCTGATCGGGTACGCCTGAGAAACGTTAGCACAGGTCGGTATTCCTAGAATGGCAATACTTACGACGAACAGAAGATAGACGAGGCCGAATACGAACGAGATGTATAGAGTCATGAGCGCAAGGATGGGCTCAACGCTGAGCATGATGGCTGGTCTCGTCATGTAGCGGGTTGCAAAGTCCTTGAGACTGACGGGGGTCTCGTCCAGCCGCGAGTGTAGCGCCCACTGCTTGGTCTCCAGACGAAGCTCTTGCGCCCGCCTCTTCTCGAGGACAGGCATGTACGTCTCTGGCAACAGGAAGAATCCAATGAAGCTGAACACTCCAGACAGAATGAGCGATATCCAAGCAGTCCACCGCCAGCCGAGAGAGCTCTGCACGACCACAGCGCCAACGATGGCTCCAACTTCTGGGCCTAGCAGCGTAGTAGCTGCAAAGATGGCTACCGCGATACCGCGCTCAAGAGGCGCCATGAAGTCTGCGAGGTAGCCTCCCACGATAGCTGGTGATCCCGCCGAAGCAACGCCCGACAGAAACCGGAAGACCAGAACAGTCGTGGCATCCTTGCCGAGTGCCACTGGGATCTGGAGAAGAACGAAAGCCAGATATCCCAAGAAGAAAGGCGACTTGCGGCCAAACACCTCAGAGGCTGGTCCCATGACGATAGGCCCTGTTGCGAAGCCGAAGACGAACAGCGCCGTTGCGAGTGACATTGTCTCGATTGAGACGCCAAACTCTCGTGCAGTGACTGGTATTGCTGCGTTGAAGACCGAGCTGGAGAATGTCGCTGCAAAGGTCATGGCTCCCAATGCTCCTGCACAAGCCCATTTCCGCCATGCAGGCATGTTCATGGGGTTTCGTGGATCGTCCATGCCGCTGAGGAGGACCAGGTCATTCTCGTAAAAGACGGCATCTTCTCTGTCGTTGCCCAGGAGGGGCTCAGACTCTCCTGCTTCCGCACGACGAATGTTGCCGTTCATGGTGGGTGATTTCGAGTTTGTGAGAGTCTTCGTTCGTTGCTGTTGCAGGACGGAGAGGTCTTTAGATTTGCATGGAACGCAAGGCTGCTCAGGTGTAAAAGTCGGCAGCGCTTGCAAGAACATCTATTGATTCAAACCAGTCTCTGTCTCAATGGCAATTTTTATCAGAGTGATATTGATTGTGTGAGGCTGGTGATGTGGTTTGGCTGACTCCCATCAGAAACTCCGAGTCCGCTGCACCAACTCACCAAATCCTTACGTTCACCCGCACTCGCCTGACCCCGTCTTTCGCCGACCGAGAGTGCCTGACACGTCAAAGCCTATAAGTCAGGCTTCTTGTTTTGAGCATTGTGCGAAAGCATACGTCTTGACCCCAAAACTGCACATCTTCGAACGTCACTGGTGCCATCATATCACCATGTCGAACTACATCACCACCAACAACGCCGAGGGCAAGGCGGTCTTCACCGACAAGATCCCCGCCCCACGATACAAGATTGACACCCCAAATCTCACCATCGAGTTCGTCTACACAAGCCACAAGTCGATCCCAGACCTTTCCACCGAGAAGGACATCGATCAATACGTCCACGACCGCATCAACGGTCTTGGCCCCCGCGGAGCCATGCCCCCGGAGGGCGTTGCTATCGCCATCTTGACCTGGAAAGCGAACGCCATTGCTCCATGGCACCGTATCATGACCGTCGACACCCTGTACGTTATTGAGGGCGACATGGAGTTCCAGCTCGACGGTGGTGAGACTCGCATCTTGCATGCTGGCGATTCGGTCGTTGGCCGTGCTACTATGCATACTGGCAGGAACGTCACCCCCAATGGTGGTGTTGTGAAGCTTGTTGGGTGCTCCGTGCCTGTCATCATGCCTGTGATGGTTGGCGAGCATGAGCTTCATGCTGAGTGGATTGAGCGGGAGTTGAAGAACTAGAGTCTGATCTCTATGAGATGATTTTGCTTAGTAGCCGTTTGAAACTGTGAACGATTGTATCTTATCCCATAGAATACAGTTGAGACTAAAGATCATCAAGTGAATCAGTCGCACACTGGGGCACGATTACGCTGAAAACAGAGGAAGAATTGATCGCTGTCTATCTCTAAAATCATTCGTGGCATCGTCGAATCTTCAGTGCAATAGATCCAGCACTTTGATTTACAGCTGCATCCTCCAAAGCCTCATTTACCCTTCTGCTTTACATTCTTCCACTCCATACCCACCGCCCCCAAGATTGAAAGGCAAGCAAGGATAGTGGCCATCTCGAACACTTTCGTCACTGCATTGCTGTAGGCCTCCAGGACCTGATGAAGATACTCAGGCGGTACTTGTGACCGCAATTGCGTAGCACCTGCTTGGATCGCCGTTGCCACGTCGAATCCTGGGATATGGAGGTCGGCAGTGTTCTCTCTCAGGGCTTTGGAGAACGTGCTCTCTCCAGCGGAGACGAATATGGCTCCTCCGAGATACAAAGAAGTGTACACCAGGGCGATGCCTATAGGGATGTCTTGAGGAGGCAAAGTCGACTGCACTGCAACAGTCGACTGCTGGAAGCCGAAGCCAATGCCGCTCCCAAGCAGGATCTGATATCCAATCCAGCGTCCGGTTGGCTCGCCGACTTGCCATGTGTACAGAAGTCCACAGCCCACTGATAGAAGGACCGTGGAAGCGTAAACGAATGGCATGTAGTAGCCAATCCGTGTTGTCAGGAATCCGGCTCCAAAAGTGCCCAGTACCTGGCAGATGATGAGAGGCAATGTGTGAACCGCTGAGATGATTGGCGAAACACCTTGCACAGCTTGGAACCAGATAGGGATGTAGTAGAGGGTCACGAAAACAGAAGACCCAACAAAGAACGCAAAGAGGGTAGCAAACATCGTCGTCCGATGCTTGAATATGTGCTTCGCGACTGTGGTGTTGGTTGTTCTCAGGCCTTGCCACAAGACGAAGCCGATGGCCGTTAAGGAGAACACGACCAAAAGAGCGATGATCCTTCCGCTGGACCAGGGATATGTTGAGCCTCCCCATTGCACAGCCAGGAGTAGACAAATGACTGAAGCCATGAAGAGGACATTTCCCACAGGGTCAGTCTTCCAGATCCGCTGCCAGATTGTACCGTTTGCGTTTGGCAATGTCTGCTGCACCTTGAGGAAGAAGAAAGTCCCCGAGGCAGTGAACGCTCCAATTGGGACTATCGATCTTTCGTTAGCACTGATTCGACCGAGTGGGAGAGACAAGTGTGAAATACTTACGATTGATATAAAAGCACCATCGCCATGTCGCACTCTCAGTGAAGGCACCTCCAATCAAGGGACCAATCACGGCACATCCACCAAAGGTTGCGCCCACGCAGCCGACAATGACCGGTCGCAGACGTACAGGAACAACCAGTGCAATGGCTGTCATTGCTCCAGTAAACAATCCCGCTGCACCGATTCCTGCAATGGCTCGGCCGACAATCAGAGCGATCGAATTTGGCGCAACGCCTGACACTAGCGACCCTATCTCGAATATGGCGAATGCTGACAGGAAGAGTGTTTTCACGCGGATCATGGAGTATAGCTTGGCGTAGAGGAGCTGCAAGCCTAGTGATACGGTCAGGCCATTCGGCTATATTGTTGAGTCTTCATGTACTTACTGCATATCGTCAGAAAGTACCCAGCTCCATACCAGCCGATGTCGTCGATTGTGCCAAAGTCGTCTGTGATGCGTGGAATGGCGGTTGCAAGAACTATTCAACAGGTATCAGTGACTTAGTCTCCAGAGCATGGGTAGATGCAGTGCTAACTCGTATTGTCCAATGCTACGCAGAATACTGCAGAGCACAAGGATGCTACCAGAATACCGAGCTTCCAACCTGTGAGCTCGTTGCTCGATTGACTTGTCGGCGGTTGTGCCGGAGCTTCCTCCTGTTTCTCATTCTGATCATCGCCTCTTACTTGGACTTTTTCGGTGGTTGATGATGTCCCTGGCCTCGGCGCATGGAGTATGGGTCTGCCAGAGCTTGCAAGAGATGTCTTGCTCTTGGTTCCTTGCGAGGACCAGTCAAGCGTCGACAAGTCGAACGCAGGAAAGTTGAATGACGGAATGTCTACCGTCGACGATGCTGCCGTCGGTATGGATATGTCCAAGGTAGAAAAGTTCAAAACAGGCAAAGAGAAAGTGGACAAGTCTGATGTTGATCTGTCGAACTCATCGGCTTCCCGCTCGTGAGCCGCCATCTTCGCTGCAGACGATATGCTCGACATTCGGTGCTGAGTATGTTGGCATGGCACGGCAGACAATCTGTGAGAGTGCATGCGGTGACTTCTCGCTTGCAACACTGACGGCCATGGTCACCGACCATTTCGTCACTTTCTTCGTGAGACGGAGGGCAGTAACCCCGAACGGACCTTCATGTGAATAATATCCGTGCGTCACGTCGGCTAGTCCGATTCAGGAAGGACGCTCGTCCAATCAGTGGGCGGCGGCGAGGTTGCAACGGGGACTTGGCGGTCACTCAAGATAGCAGCGGAGCAATTCTATATCATCGTACAACAGTTTATGGAGGTACTGTGTATATACGTCATGCCACAGCAGGATGCCTTCCTCTGGGGATGTCCACCACGTGGGATTCAGCTGCCATACGAACCGAAGTTAGTCTAGTTGCACAAGTTCTCCAAAAGTACTTTGCGTAACCCATCAATGATACGCTCCATCCGTGAAACATCGTAGAACGCTTCGTTGTACACCAGACGCAGCTCGAGCTGACCGTGATACTTCCACAGGAAGCAGTAGACTTGTCGGCTCAGTGTCTCGACTCCGATGCTTACGTCTCGAACTTCGATCACTACTCTGCCGTCCTCGTCTGTGTACTGCGGTGAAACGAGCTTCTCGGCGTCACCGACACTGGAGATATCGATCTCGCTTGAAGCTGGAGGTTTTGGGGGCGGAGTCTGACGCAAAGCACTCAGACACGCTTTTGCATATTGGCGCCGAGTCTGCAAAAAGTCCTTGGTCACCCCAATGTTGTACTTGTCTGTATAGTGTTTTGCATTCTGCAGCCAGGAGTTTGAAGCCTGGACCTGTTCCAAATAGCCACCAGTGCAAAGCGCAGAGGCGAACTCGGCTCCATTCCACGGAGCGTCCATGAACGGGCGTAGGCTGAAACGCATTGTGCTGGTGTATGGCTTTTCTTTTTGATCTTCGGCGGCCTGTTGGTAAGTCAATGCAGCACAGGAAGCTTGCACTGCGGCTTCCAGTGTCAAGTTTTGTTCTAGGCAGGCTTTCTCAATTCGCTCCGTGTCGCTGCGGGAGAGGCGAGTATTGACACCTTTCGTGCCTTTTGGGAGAGCACCTTCACTTTCAGGCGAAGCCTCAAGACCGACTGTTCCATGAAGAAGAGCTGCTGTAGCGAGAAACTTCTTTGCCTCTTCACAGACTTCCGGAGTGGCTTCTTCTGGCAGTTTGAGAACGTCTTCCACGGTTGGCACAAGGCGAGAGACCTCTTGTCCCCAAACTTGCTCGCCTGGTACCTTTGTGCTGCCAGTGATCCCTCCTTTCAGATTCTCAAGCAAAGCGTCGATCAAGAGAAGAGCGCCGTAGCCGTCCGTACGCCAATGGGGAAAGTGAAGCACAATTGTCGACTCGCGAAGCAGCAGGTGGGCCGTCACGAATTTGGTGGGTTTGAAGGACGCAACCAAGTCTTCTAGGGATTCCTTGTCCTGACATATGTGCAAAGTCTCGTCTGCCCAGGAATCCAGAGTCTTGTCGTCGGGGATGTTGTAGCTCAACTTGGAGTCTCCGGCCGTGGAAGCAATGCTTGGGTGCTGGAAACGAAGATTCTTCCATGCTTGACGACATTTTTGGACGATATTTTCGTCTTCGATTGGTTGTGCCAGCTGGAATGTTGCGCTGGATGTCACAGACCAATGCTCACGACCAAGGCCGTGTGCACGATCCCCGATAAGCTTGATGAATTCTTCGTTTTCGCCAACGGGGCGTTGGTAGACACCGGCTTCACTCTCCGACCAAGACATGACTGATTGTGTTTGCTGTATAATCAAATTGGTCGATGTCGCTGTCGCTTGCGATATGTCCAATGTCTTTTTCGTCAGTTGTGCTTGATTATGCTGCAGCCCACTGCGCGGACAAATGTATTTGGCCGACACAAAACGTCGAATCCTCCGAGACCACGCCCGCAAGGCTGCACTTGAGGATCATGCGTGAAGCGTGGCAACACAGCTGAGAGATCATTCTCGTGTTGCCGTCGACGGTAATCTCACCCTTTGGTTAACAGAACACTTCAACAAGATGGCAATCGATCAGAACGAACCTGCTGAAGAGTTCAGCGACTATGAGAAGGTCTACCTTCAAATGTCACGGGCCTTCAAACCCATCGGCAAGGAGCACTGGGGCATTCACTGTGTCTGCTCCATAGCATCGAACTCTACAGAGCACAAGTTCACCAAGACCGATGTCAGAGCTGCATGGAAGTGCCTTGCAGTCGAATTTCCCGGCCTTACCGTCCGCCCTGTTGAATTCACAAAGCACTTCGAGACTCTGAACGAAAATGTTGTCGAAGATTGGGCGGAGGCGACATTCTTCTCTTCGAATGACAGCACGGCAGACGAAATCATTCAATCGAGTGGTCCACGAGATCTTCCAAGCTTGTACTTCCTCCCGAAATCAATGGAACTGGTCTTTCTCAGCCAACACTGGCGGACGGATGCTCTGGGCTGCTGCATGATCTTTGACAAGCTGATCGAGCACCTAGCTAAGAAGACATCGCCGGTCGAGCTTCTCGCAGAATCTAGACGCTGGCCGTCACCATGCTTGGAGACGGCAGCTGGAGCTTCTTTCGACGTGGACGAGGAGACCAAGAAGTATGCAAAGGACACCATCTCATCGTTCCACGCCAAGGCTGTGCAATCTGGAGGACTGCCATATCAGGGCGACAACAAACTGTTACCTGGCAAGACACAGCACCGAGAACTTGCTCTGTCTGTTTCACAGAGCGACTCCGTGGTGGAAGCTTGCAAAAAGCAAAACATCAGTGTCTCCGCTGCAGTCCACACAGCTCTAGCACGCACTTACTTTTCCTTCGCCGAAAGCAACGAAGACAAGCAGAAGGGCTATACTACCGTCATGGCCACCAACGCTCGGCCACATCTTCAGCCTCCATACAACGAGCCCGCACACGCCTGCCAGACGTACGTGGCAAGCATTACGCCAACCGTACCCTACGACTCTGACTTTGTTTCTGCCGCTCGCGAGCTTTCGAACGAGTACAAAACTTGGTGCACCCCCCAACTCATGAAATCCCTCTGCTGGGCCTACAAGTTCCATCGAGATGCTTTGTTCGCGGCAGGGCCACCAGCAAAGCCTCCAAGTGGCGTTACGCTCAGCAGTCTGGGAGTCGTCGAGAAGTTCTTCCCTGGCCAGTACGGGGATATTGAGGTCGAGAATTTCCGATTTGGGGTTTCGATGATGACCAGACAGACGCTGCTGTATGCGTGGACATTCAGAGGGCAGCTGACATTGTCGTTGGATTACAATGAGGCGTATTATGAAGAAAGCATGGTACAGGAAGTGTTGGAGCGAGTGAAGAAGCATCTGGGCGAGGGATTGCAAGTACTTCTGTAGGTCTAAACTATCACATTGCTTCTCTCATTTATTCCAGCTGCAACAAAAGTTGAGCTGAAGATTCATCTCCATGGCTCGCAAGCTAGCTTGCTAGCTTGAAGGGCGAGCAGAAGCGTTGTTGCCCTTGACGAGTCGGAGAATATGATAGTTATATGCATTCCTCTTTGACTGAAAATATGAGGGTCAAAGTCCTTTTTGTGCAACACTCCCTTAAAGACAAGCCATTTCATACACCGAATTCTCCAGATACCTGTCCCTGTTATCATCCCATTCCTGCTCGCCGCAACATTCAAGACGGCTTTTTCTCTGCCCTGGATCAGTCCGTTTCGTTCTTTTCTAGCTCTATACAAGATCTCTATGTGGCTGCCTCAAGGGGATGGGATTGTGAACGCTGAACAGTCCCTCCGGATCGTATTTCTGCTTGACCTCTTGCAACCGTGGTAGACTTTCGCCATACCATGCTTCGGCACCTTCATCGCCTCGAGCATAGTTGGGATAGACAGAGAGGCGACCGTAACCGCCAGTTTTGGTGAAAGCTTCTCGTGCGCTGGTCCAGAACTCGTTGACGTCGTCGTCGAGGCTTCGGTCTTCGTAAAAGCCTTCGAAGTTCCTGTAACGGATTGTCAGTAAGAGGGCTTTGAACACATGGGTGGAGAATGATACTTACATATACATCTTGGCATGACGATGGCCATACGCAGAAGCCTCATCAGCGGTCGCCAGTGGGCCGTCGGTAGCGTATCGCTGCATCAACCATCGGCCTTGGAAAGATGGGTGGTCATCCCAAAATCGAACCAGCTGACCGAAGAAAGACTCGAATGTAGGCGTATGAATTTGTCTGAGGACCACGCTATAGATGTTGATGTGCTGGTTCGGTGTGCAGGCACCATTGTCCTGACCGAATGACCGGAAGAAGGCCGCATCGATAATGTCCCAGGCGGGTACCATGGTGACGTTGGACATCATGGGTTGCATCTTCTCGAAGGACTCGACCAGCTTCCTGCCTTCGGACATGGGACCGTAGTAGATGGCGTTGACTGCGAGCATTGGCTAGAAAGCAAGTCAGCAATAGCTAAGAGATTGGGACGTTGGAAATACTCACTGCGCCAACCTGACGATTATACGCCGCTACAGCGTTGATCGCGAGCTTCGAAGACATCTCCTTTTCCGTAGCCTTCAAGATCTCAAAGAACGACCTGTTCGCGGCTGCTGGGAACAAGAAGTCGGCGTTCATGTACATGCCATCGTTTGAGATCTTTGGCAGCTTGTACGTGGCAGAGGTCACAATGCCAAAGTTGCTGCCAGCTCCACGCAGCGCCCAGAAGAGTTCCTTGTTGTTTGATGCTGAGGCCTCCACTAGCTTGCCCTTTGACGTGACAATGTTCACGGATTCCAATGCATCGAGCAGCAAGCCTCGCTCACCCTGCAGACCTCCAATACCGCCACCAAGAGTTGCACCCACGACACCGACACATTCACACGACCCCAGAGGCAGCTCACGACCCGCATCAAATAGAGGCTTGATGAGCTGGAAGATCTTGACTGACCCGCCAATCGTCAAACGTGACTTGTCGTCCGAGAAAGACACCGACTTGAAACCTCCCATATCGATGGCCAGTCCGCCGAAAGTGCTGTAGTTTGAAATACCATGGCCTCCACCAATGACGAAGAATGGCAGGCTGTTATCGCTCGCAATCTTGACGATTGACTGTACATCGTCCTCTGTGGCCGGCTTGATTGCGCCAAGATCATACGATGGTGCGTTTACGTCGGTCCATCGTTGCTGGAGCTGGGCCGGGAAATCGGGCGTCGTTGGTGGAACGATGAGGGCGTCGGAGGAGAGATGGGGCCCGAAAAGCGAGGTAATGTTGGGTTGCAGACTGAATACAGTCTGGACGATGCCCAACTTCATGGCGGGCAGTAAATGAGCCTAGCGGCAAGGCTTTGGTTGTAAAAGATGCCGATTGCTGTTAAACAGCAACGTTGCACGAGAATTTTGAAGCGTACCGACGACGACGACGCTTTGCACACAGTACAAAGCCTCCACAATGTTTCTAGGGCGCTGTCTGCTGTTGCATTGGCGTGAATGTGGTGGTATGGCAGCCCGGATAGCGGGCTCGGAGAAAAGGTATAGGCGGGCTGAGGCTCCGAGCTTTCTGTTCTTCCGCCACGTTTTGCTGCTGCTGATCCAGCTCCACCACCACGCTTCGACCCTGCGCACATGGGCTGCGGCGAATCCTTTCCAAGAGATTCTAATTAGGCTGTCGTGACGGCATTGTCGTTCTGTCGGGATCCATGGCTTGGGAGCAGTATGTCCGCCGTTCTGTTGGGTTGCGCCTGTTGCTCCGCGGTAGAATCACCGTGCTCATATGTGAATCGTGACATGTACCTTTTCTTCGTCCTCGCACATAGACTTTGAAGCTCTCCCTATGCTCCATTCCTCTCAATCGATCGATCCTTGTCTATCGTTGCGTCGTAGTAGAGTAGGCGCACTTCGAGCTTCAACTCTCGAACGTGTGGTCGCTCCCTTCAACACCGCCGCATTGCGACTAACCATTACTCGTTACCCACCGCAAACATGGGCAGCATAGAGGAGCCTCGCCCTGGCACCGAGCCCATCGCCATCATTGGGCTGGGATGCAAGTTTGCAGGAGATGCCAAAGATCCTCAAGGCTTCTGGAAGCTGCTGTCGGAAGGCCGAAGCGCTTGGTCCAAGATTCCTTCAGACAGATTCAATACCACTTCTGTCTATCACAAGAACCCAGAGAAGTCTGGGACCGTAAGTCCGCCGTTGTCGAAGGATGTCACAGTCTCTGATGTTCGCAACAGCATAATGTCGCCGGTGCCCACTTCATCAGTGAAGATCTGGCGCACTTCGACGCCGCATTCTTTAACCTATCAGCAGAAACTGCAGCAGTAAGTCTTGCCATCTCTGTAGATACGAGCAACAACTTACTGTGATTTCAGGCCCTTGATCCTCAATTCCGACTCCAGCTCGAATCTGTATACGAAGCAATAGAAAACGGTAAGCATCCCCGAAAGTCACTCACCTTCAAAGCCGCTGACAATCCCACAGCCGGCCTCTCTCTGGCCCAACTCGAGGGCTCTCCAACCTCCGTCTACGCCGGCATTACAGTCCAGGACTACAAGGACAACCTCGTCCGAGATGGAGACAATCTGCCACGAAACTACGCCATCGGCACGGGCTCAGCCTTTGCTGCCAACCGTGTATCACATTTCTTTGACTTGCGAGGCGCAAGTATGACCATTGACACCGGTTGCTCGACGACGCTGGTAGCGTTGCATCAGGCAGTGCATTCGCTGAGAAGTCGTGAAAGCGACATGGCCATCGTTGGTGGCTCGAATCTGATGTTGAATCCGGATACGTTTAACTCCATGTCGTCGGGAAGGTAAGTCGAGGATGTATGAGTTCCTGTCTGAACATTGCTGACTTCAACAGTTTTCTCGGGCAGGACGGTAGATCATACGCCTTCGACCAGCGAGCTAATGGCTACGGTCGAGGTGACGGTGTTGCGACTATCATCGTCAAGCGTCTAGCAGACGCCCTCATCGACCGCGATCCAATCCGTGCAGTGGTACGGGAGACTGCCCTCAACCAAGACGGCAAGACAGAGAGCATTACCTCGCCCAGTCAAGCAGCCCAAACGGCCATGATGCAAGAGTGCTACAGGCGAGCCAAGCTTGATCCTCGCGATACGCAGTACTTCGAAGCCCATGGAACGGGTACTCCAACGGGCGACTTCATCGAGGCTGGCGCTATGGCATCCATGTTCAAGCATGGAAGACTCCCCAATCAGCCTCTTCTCATTGGATCGGCGAAGACCAACATCGGTCACGCCGAGACGACAAGTGGTCTTGCTGGCATTATCAAAGTCATTCTGGCCATGGAGAACAACATCATCCCACCGTCGGTCAACTTCCAGGAGTTGAACAGGAAAATCCCCTTCGAGGAGTGGCGGCTGAAGCTTGTCACGGAGTCCATCAAGTGGCCCGTCCAAGCAGGCCAGGCGAAGAGAGCGTCCATCAACAACTTCGGTTATGGTGGTTCCAATGCCCACGTCATCATCGAGAGCACAGAGAACTGGAAGCTGGACGATTTCGGGCCTACTCCAGTGGCACAGAAGACTGACAATGCCGTCGGTCTGCTGATGCTCAGCGCGAAGAGCGAAAAGGCCTGCAAGAGCATGGTCAGCAATCTGAGAGAATACCTCGAGACTTACCGTGGCAACCGTGACCCTCAGGAACTCCTCGAATCTATCGTCTATACCCTCGGCCAGCGTCGCAGTCTCTTCCCATGGATCGCAGCGCAGCCAATCTCGTTAACCTCCGGTCTTGAAGATGTCACCAAGGCACTGGAGAACCCAATGCAGTTCAAGCCTAGTCGTACTTCGCGGAAGCAACGCCTTGCATTTGCTTTCACCGGCCAGGGTGCACAATGGCATGCCATGGGCCGTGAGCTCATCTCAGGATACCCATCGTTCCGAGCAACTCTACAGGCTGCAGAGAAGCACCTTCAAAGCATGGGCGCTGACTGGTCTCTGTTCGAAGAGCTTGACCGCGATGAGAAGTCGACCAGAGTAAACGACACGAGCATGAGCATTCCCATCTGCGTGGCTCTCCAGATCGCCGTGGTTGAGCTCCTTCGATCATGGGGCATCAGCCCTGTTGCAGTCGTCAGCCATTCCAGCGGTGAGGTCGCAGCTGCATACACTGTTGGAGCACTCGATTTGAGATCTGCCATGGCTGTTGCATACCACCGTGCGGTGCTCACTGCCAACCACAACGCAAAGTCATCACTCAAGGGTGGCATGATCGCTGTTGGTGTTGGCGCCGATGAGACCGAGGAGTACCTGTCCAAGCTGACCTGCGGCGGCAAAGCAGTAGCAGCTTGCATCAACAGCCCTTCGAGCGTCACTGTCGCTGGTGATGTGGCGGCTGTTGAGGAGGTCGAGCAGATGATGAAGGCCGATAACGTATTCGCTCGTCGGCTGAGAGTCAACGCTGCCTACCACTCTCACCACATGGACCCCATCGCTGAGCCTTATGGCGAGGCTCTTACCAAGGAGGAGCTGACTGGTCCAAACCAAGGCGAGCTCGACTCCATTGCATACTCATCACCAGTCACTGGTGATCGCATCCAAGATGCCGAGCAGCTCACCGACCCTGAGCACTGGGTGGCCAGTATGGTTCAGCCAGTGCAGTTCGTCGACGCCTTCACCGACATGGTGCTTGGAGACTTCGATGCATCAGGGAGCAGCATCGACTCCGTTGTCGAGATCGGTCCTCACACCGCACTTGGCAGTGCCATGAAGGACATTCTCGGCCTGCCCCTCTTCAACGGCCTCCAGCTGCCATACAGCGGCAGTCTCGTCCGAAAGACCGACGCAAGACAGAGCATGCAGGCTCTCGCGGGCACACTCCTCTGTCAAGGACACGGGATAAAGATTGAAGCGATCAACTTCCCCGAAGGCGTTCCAGCCAATGTCAGCGTGGTGACAGATCTTCCTTCATACCCATGGGTCCATGAGACACGACATTGGCAAGAGAATCGCCTGAACCGCGCATTCAGAGAGCGAAGCCAGCCTACGCATGAGTTGCTGGGCCAAGTAGCGGTATGGTCAAACCCAACGTCGCCAATGTGGAGGAACATCCTAAAGCTGAACGACAACGCTTGGCTGCGAGACCACATTGTCGAGTCTAGCATTGTCTACCCGGGAGCTGCATTCATGTGCTTGGCTATGGAGGCCGTGCAGCAGATGTCTGCTCAGCAGGGCGATCAAGCCCCAATCCTCGGATTCCATCTTCGTGAGGTCGACTTGCAAGCTGCGTTGATCGTACCGGACAACGTCGACGGCGTCGAGCTGCAGACCATCCTATCGCCAGCAGACGACAAGACGATCGCGTACAAGGACTGGAAGAAGTTCGAGATCGTCAGCGTCTCAGCCGATGGCGACTGGAAGCAGCACGCACAGGGCATGATCTCTGCTGAATACAGCAGTGTTCTCGTCAACAGCTCCAAGAAGCTCACCGGATACACTCGAAAGTATGATGTCGAAGAGTTCTACGCCACTCTCCGCAGAGTTGGCATCAAGCATGGACCGGCTTTCCAGAACCTCAACAGTATCGAGCACTCCAAGGAGCAGAGCAAGTCCGTTTCGTCAATCAGCATGCCCGACACTGACCCAACGAACTCATTGCCCACCGACTGCATCATCCAGCCGGTGCTCCTCGACACGATCGTCCAGGCAGCTTACACTGCTCTGCCTCGAGCGGGTGGCCAGATGGACAGCGCCATGGTCCCCAGGTCTGTCCAAAGCCTCTGGGTGTCGAACCTGAAGCCTTCCGCAAACCTCGAGGCCTTGTCGAGCGTCAGCCACGCCGACTCCCAGACCTTCCGCACCAACATTTCTGTGACAGACCGAGTAGGCGGCGGTCTTGCAGTCAAGCTCGACAACTTGACCTTCCAGTCTCTCGGCCAAGGCTCTGCACCTGCTGTTGCTCAGCCATGGGAAGCCGAAGTCTGCAGCAAGCTGGAGTGGGTGCCAGACGTTACTATGACCTCGCCGGTTGCTCTCGAGAAGATGAGACGCGAGATGGCACATGCCCCAGATCCAACCGAGCTTGACATGGTCGAAGAACTGCGCCGTGTGTGCGTGTACTATGCTCAAGACGCCCTTGGTCTTGTCCCCAAGTCTTACTGCCCTGGCCTCGAGGGGTACTTCCAGAAGTACTACACCTGGTTGCAAGACCAGATCAAGCTGGCGGATGCTGGTGTACTTGGTTCTGACTCGGCGACATGGACGAAAGACAGCCCTGAAGAGCGCAAGAAGCACATCGAGAACGTTCGCACTGCCAGCGTCAACGGTGAGATGGTCGTCCAGCTTGGTCCTCACCTTGCCCCAATGCTCCGCGGCGAGCTGGCACCACTCGAGCTTATGATGGAGGAGAGTCTCCTGACCAAGTACTATCGTAACGTCCTGAAGTGGCACCGTTCCTTTGAAGACGCCGCTTCTCTCCTCAAAGATGTGGTGCAACAGAACCCACAATCACGCATTCTCGAGATCGGCGGTGGTACTGGTGGCGGTACTCACTATATGCTCGATGTGATCGGTAACGCCGAGACTGGAGGCCCGTTGGCTTCCGCCTACCACTTCACCGACATCTCCAGCGGATTCTTCGAGGCTGCGAGGAAGGAATTCGCAGCCTGGGACGACATCATGCAGTACAGCAAGGTCGACATCGAGCAAGACCCAGTCGCTCAAGGGCTTGAGTATGGCAGCTACGATGTCATCGTTGCTTGCCAAGTTCTGCACGCTACTGAGTCAATGAGAAAGACCATGGCCAATGTGCGGAAGCTGTTGAAGCCGGGAGGCAAGCTCTTGCTTGTTGAGACAACCAACGATCAGCTTGACGTGCAGTTCGTCTTCGGCCTGGTGCCGGGTTGGTGGCTCAGTGAGGAGGCTGAACGCCAGACCAGTCCAAACTTGACCCCTGCCTTGTGGGATCAAGTACTGAAGGAGACTGGATTCAGCGGCAACGATGTCGAGATCCCCGATTGCGAGGACGAGGCATACGCCACCAGCGCTATCATGTCGACAGCAACCTCTCCAGCGGAAACGAAGCTGCCACCAGCGGACGACTGCGTGATTGTCACTAGCAGCAGAAACCCTGCTCCGGAGAAGTGGCTGCAATCGTTGCGGTCGACTCTCGGTCAAGAAGCGTCCTACAACGGCGTCGCCACTCTCGAGACAGCCGCCAAGCATGTCTACGCCAACAAGATCTGTATCTTCGTTGGAGACGCAGGCGAAGAGGCTGTCTTGCATGGCCTTGACGACGAGGGCCTGGCTGGAATCAAAGCCATGGCGACCTCGTGTCAAGGCCTCCTGTGGGTAACTCGAGGAGGTGTTCTGAACTGCGAGAAGCCAGAGCACAGCCTGGCAGCAGGTTTCCTCCGCAGTTTGCGAAACGAGTACGTCGGTCGTAAGCTCCTCACTCTGGACCTCGACCCAGCGGCGCCCGTGTGGTCAGACGGAAGCCTCTCTACCATCATTCAAATCTTGAAGGCGAAGTTTGGTCAAGTGCTGAGCTCCAGTGCCACTGAAGTCGATCTCTCTGACTTTGAGTATGCTGAGAGAGCTGGCAGCGTCCTGGTACCACGCATGTTCAAGGACATCTCCCGCAACAAGGCCCTCTCGCCTGATCCGGTCAGCGAGACTGTCTTTGAGAGCGGTCCACTGCGTCAAGAGACTCGTCCACTGAGCTTGCAAGTCGGCAATCCTGGCATGCTGGACACCATTGCATTCGGAGACGACGAGCGAGCCTGCTGCACTGCCGAGACCATTGCCAAGGATGTGGTCAAGGTCAGCCCCAAGGCTTATGGCGTCAACTTCCGCGATGTCATGGTCGCCATGGGAGCGCTCGAGGAGCGTGTCATGGGTCTCGAGTGCGCTGGCACCATCACTGACCTCGGATCGGAAGCTGCAGAGCAAGGCCTCAAGGTCGGCGACTCGGTCATGTGCCTCCTCGATGGACCGTTTGCCAGCGACGCATATGTCCAGTGCCCCAAGGTGGTGCCGATGCCCAGTGATTTGAGCTTCGAGGCAGCTGCATCGATTCCTCTTGTCTTCGCAACGGCTTACTACAGCATTTTGGACACTGCTCGCCTGCGAGCTGGCCAGTCCATCTTGATCCACGCCGCTGCCGGTGGTGTCGGTCAGGCTGCCATCATTCTGGCCCAGCACATCGGTGCGACCATCTACGCAACAGTCGGATCTGTCGAGAAGAAGAAGCTGTTGACTGAGAAGTTTGGCATCCCCGCCGACCGAATCTTCAACAGCCGAAACAAGTCGTTCGTTCCGGACGTTCTCGCAGCAACCAACAACCGCGGCGTTGATGTCGTTCTCAACTCGCTAGCTGGTCCCTTGCTCCAGGCGAGCTTCGACATTGTTGCTCCGTTCGGCCATTTCGTCGAGATCGGAAAGAGTGATCTGGAACGCAATAGCAGCCTGGCCATGAGCAACTTCGCCCGCCACGTGTCCTTCTCCTCTGTCGATGTCCTTGCCATGGTCCGCCAGCGACAAGACGAGGTCCACCGGGTGTTGAAGGAGGTCGCTGCTCTGACTGCTGCCAAGGTCGTCAAGCCGGTCGCTCCAGTGACAGTCTACCCCATCGCAGAGGCAGCCAAGGCCTTCCGATTGCTACAGACTGGCAAACACACCGGCAAAGTCGTCCTGTCTGTTGACTCTGACGCCCAGGTGCCCATCATTCCACAACGTACCAGCACTCGACTCTCACCCAAGGCTTCCTATCTGCTCGTCGGCGGTGTCGGTGGTATTGGCCAATCTCTCGCTAGATGGATGATTCAGCACGGAGCGAAGAACCTCATCCTGCTGTCAAGAAGCGCCGGAAAGGCTGGCTCAATCGCAAGCATCGAAGAGCAAGCCCAGCAAGCAGGCTGCCGTGTGAAGGGCATCAGCTGCGATGTCTCCAAGATCGCTGACCTCAATGCTGCTCTACAAGCCTGCAAAGATGAAGGATTCCCTCCAGTTCGAGGTATCGTTCAGGGAGCGATGGTGCTCAAGGTATGTCGGAACCGTCTCTTTGCTCGCCGTGCAATTCATACTGACCTCTTGACAGGACGCCATCCTCGAGCAGATGACGCTCCAAGACTACAACACTGCCATCCAGCCCAAGGTCGCCGGTACATGGAATCTGCACGCCGCATTCCCCAAGACGCAGGATCTCGACTTCTTCGTCTTGCTGTCCTCGATCGTCGGCATCCTCGGCAACGCCAGTCAGGCGAACTACTCCGCTGCAGGATCTTACCAAGATGCCATCGCCACCTGGAGAACGAAGCAAGGCCTGCCATGTGTATCCATCGACCTGGCGACTGTCAAGTCTGTCGGATACGTCGACCAGAACGCCGGTGTTCGTGCTCGTATGGCCAAGCTCGGCCACGCCTGGCTGGACGAAGACACGGTCCACGAAGTCCTCGCATCTGCTATCCTCAACCCTGCCCAAGCTCAAATCGTCGCTGGTATCAACCAAGGCCCTGGCTCACACTGGGACAGTGATGGCTCTTCCCAACTTGGCCGTGACGCCCGTTTCGCAGCTCTTCGCTACCGCCAGCCACGCAAGCAAGGCGGTGCCGCATCCTCGGGCGATGGTGGAGACTCAGTCGCCGCTCGTCTCGCAGAAGCGTCTTCAGCAGGCGAGGCGGAGACCATCGTGCTCGAGGCTTTGACGCAGAAGCTCGCGGATATCTTCATGATCGCGCCGGACGATATCGACACGACTAAGATGCCGGCTGATTATGGCGTTGACTCGCTGGTCGCCGTCGAGTTGAGGACGATGTTGACCCACAAGGTCGGCAGTGAGCTTTCGAGTATTGCCATTATGCAGAGCGGCTCGATCGGGGCCCTGGCGAAAGAGGCGGCTGGGAAGAGCAGGCATGTGCCGCCGGCTGCGAAGTAGATGTGGTATAGGCCATACTCGAGTCGGATCGTTGATACAGCGTACTGGGCTTGCATCTAGGCGTACACGGCGCAGTCGGAGGTGTCGGGTGTCATTATTGGAGGGTATTAGAAGGTTAGAAAAGATTTCATTCTATTAGTACATGCGTATATCTTCCTCATGCTCATCATTACCAGGAGTGGTTGCCCTAGACATGACTTGCCTTGGCCTGGAGACGAGAAGGGCTCATTGAGAGGCTTGGAGGAATACCATCATTGTTGTTGTCGTCTACAGGGAAAGGGCCGTGGAGGGTGACGCTGCTGACAAACGCTGCTCAATCTCAATGAGGAAATCCGTAAACAACGCGAGATCACGTCCTAGATTCTTCACCAACTTCGCTTCCTCATCCGCTGGAGTTGTACTTCCAAGGTCTTCAAGCAGCGACATCAGCCTTTCACTGCATGGGAACTGATGGTTCTTCGCAAGGCTGAGCCATCGTTTACCTGCCCACTCAGAGCAACATTCGTCCGGACCGTACCGACTCTCCAGCGGCCATGTGCCATGGATAACACTTTGCATCAGCACGGCCGATGACCATAGCCGATGCCTTTGACCTGGTCCTCATACGGAACTCTGAGCTGTCACGGTCGACGAGCAATGAGCACAGTCTATACTTTCACAAAGTCGTTATGGACCAGAATATTTTCGATCAGTAATCATATGGCCATCTCAGCGGAGGTATGACATACCGGTGACTCTGATGGCCGACTGTGAGCTCAGTCTCTTGTGAAACTTGGCGCATAGGGCGCGAGAATGGATGAATTCATGCCTGCAGCATTGGTACAAGGATCATGGTGAGCATTGATGGTCGATCTCGTTGATAATAGAAAGATTCAGCTCTTTGCTGCGTGTCTAGTCATCTTCATCTTGTATGATGCACTCGAGTACGGCACACAGGCTGTTAATCATCTCCAACTCGTTGACAAGACCCAGCACCGCAGTTATGAATAGCCATCAGCCTCTGAATGTACTTGTTACCTTTCCTGCCGAGGAACCGAAAACACTGGTTGGGCAAACAGCTGAAAGGCTGCGAGCGAACATCACATGGATGAATGTACGGCCTGGAGCCATGCCCCCGAATGTGGAGGTATATCAAGATATCGACGTTTTGGTCACTTTCACTGCTTTCCCTCCACCGGGCGCAGCGCCGCGGTTGAAGTACGTACACTCGTTCAATGCCGATACCGATTGGCTTGAGAAGTCGGAGTTGTTCCAGCGTGGCGATCGATCCATTCGATGGACGTTCCAGCAGGGGGTTACAAGGCTCGACTAGTGAGTGAAGGGGCCTCGTCTGTAAGAAACCCACAACGCTGACTCTATATCTTATTGCCTTCTAGTGGCCGAGTGGGTGTTCCTGACTTACATGGCATACGAGAAGAAGTACAGTCTGTGGGCCGAGAAACATCAACAACGAGAGTGGGCGTCGAGCGAATGGGGCACTGCTTTGAAGAGTCGAGATATGCTCGGCCAACGTGTCGGCATTCTGGGATATGGCTCCATCGGACGACAAGTTGGCCGTGGGGCGAAAGCTTTCGGGATGGAGGTCTTCGCCTTCACCTCGAAGCCCAGAGACACCCCAGAATCAAGAAAGGCACAAGAGTACTACCTGGATGGAACTGGAGATCCAGATGGTACAATCCCACTGCAGTGGTTCTCGGGTACGGACAAGCAATCCTTACATGGCTTCCTCTCGCAACGCCTCGACTTGTTGGTCCTGACAATGCCTTCTACGCCCAAGTCCCGCCATTTGCTAGGCAAGGAAGAGTTCGCCATACTTGCTCAGCATAGCCCCACTGGCGGTGCTTTCCTCTCAAACATCGCCCGCGCCGACATTGTCAAGCAAGACGAGCTAGTTGAAGCGCTGGATGCGCATGGAAGCGGGATCATTGGAGCTGCACTGGACACTGCCGATCCGGAGCCTTTGCCTAAGGAGAGCCCGCTGTGGGATGCTCCAAATTGCTTCATCACGCCGCACATGAGCTCTCTACATAATCGATTCGTGGACAGGGTGTTTGAGATCATGGGGAGCAACATTGAACGTGGCTTCGATAAGCCGTTCATCAACGAGATCCATCGTTCGTGACCACCATGAGGGTAACTCTTCACTACGTGTGCATTGGCAAGGAGAGAGAGATTGGTACAGCGGCGATTTTCATTTGGCCTCAAACCGATCTACCTACTTCTATCTTTCCATATACGAGAAGGATATGTCTCAAATGGAAATGGCAATCTTCTTGCAGCTGACACCCGCCTTCACGGCATCCAAAGCCTTGTTCACGGACTCAAACCCTTGGCCAACAACCTCTACCGGTGGGCTCGGCACCACGGTACCAGCCTTGAGACCATCGGCCAACCAACCCTGGAAGCTGTCGGCGATGTGAGCATCACGAACCTCCTTGTCCATAGAAGGGAAGTTGAACTTGATCTCTGTGTTGTCCAAGGTCGGGTGGTCTTCTGGAAGAAGGGGGGAGTGAGAGACCTTGGCTGGGACGCTGCTGTCCTTGGTCGCCTTCAGGATCTCCAAAGTGGGCTCAAGACCGCCCGTGCAGACAACGTGGGCCGTCTGCATCTTGACACCATCCTTCTTGATCTGCTCGATCATCGACGCGGCGACGTTGGAGTCGCTGTAGTCGAAGACGTGGTCGGCGCCGAGCTCCTTAATATAAGAGTGGTTCTTGGCACTAGCGGTGGCGTAGACAGTGAAGCCGAGCGATTTGGCGGACTGCACGGCCAGCGTGCCGACGCTGGATGCGGCGCCCCAGATGATGATGGCCTGCTTGTCCTCTGGCGTGTGTCTGGTGGAGAGGGGGATGCCGACAGTGGTGTAGGCGGTCAAGGCTGTAAGAACAGCCAGTGGCAGAGAAGCACCCTGCTCGAAGCTGATGTTCTCTGGCAGAGCAGTGACGCCCTCAGCCTGAGCCAAGACGTAACGCTGGAAGGCACCGTAGTTGGGGTTGCCGTTCTGGTAGAACGACGAGGCGAAAGCGACCACACGGGAGCCTGGTGGTGGCGAGCCGCCGTTAACGTTGGAGCCACGCTTGGTCACGATGCCAGCTACGTCCGAGCCAAAGACGGCCGGGTAGGCTGGCACTGGTGGGAAGCCGAAGTCACGCTGGTAGAAGTCGACGGGGTTGAAGGCGAGGGCCTTGACCTCGACAAGGATCTCATTTGGGCCAGGCTCGGGGGTGTCACGCTCCTGGAGAGCGAGCGTCTGCTGCTTCTCTGGTGCTAGTGCTGCGATGTGCTTGCCCATGATTGCGGTTGCGAGTGGTCTTCTCTGGGTTGGTATTCTCGTTGAGATTGGGAGCTGATTTGGCCTTGGATGTGAGTGAATCGACAAAAAACACGAAGCATGGGAACAATGTTACTGCTTGGTAGGATGCGAAGTTGCTAATTAAGAGATAGTAGACAACGCCGTCATCTGAGCCTGACGATGCGTAGCTAGACCCCTTCCTGCAATGTACCCGGGGCCGAACGGCATGGTAACTCCGTCAATCCCAAGCTATACCTCCAGTCGTATCGAGCTCTGGCCCAGGAGCAAGTCATTGTACAACGTTGCCACTATTCTCAAATCTGACTTGTTGCTATCGAATGCCTCCCCAGTGCTTGAGCAGCTGTGTGGCATGAGGAAACTCCACTACACAAAGTCGGAGTTTCTTAAACCCCTACTCCGCAGCTTCAGGCAAGGCTGAGGATATGTGCACAGCGATGACACAATTTCAGTGACAGCGGTTATGCAAGAAACAGCTTTCACAACGGCCTTCACAGTACCCTGGCTAACGCACAGATAAACACATGCGCCAGAACATTTCAAAGAGCCTCACGCTGTGGCAGGAGGAGCAACCTGATACACGCCGCGATTCGAATGTAGCATACGTTCCTGGTTCATAAAGCATATTAGCATTACCCGCAAAGATTCGCAGACTTTACTTACGAAAAGTCGGCCAGGTAATAACCAGTGGGCAATTTTAGCCGTTCCTGCAACACCTCCTCGCCAAGTCTGTCCTGACATTCCCCTAAGCACATCATCGACCAAGCTCTTCGCAGTTTTTGCGGCGGGCTCATTGTTCTGCTGCAGCTTTCCAGCACCCTGATCAACGATGAACTTCTCCACATTCTTGTAGTACGAGCCCTCTGGCAGTTTGTAAGAGTCTCCAGATTGATAGATCTGCGTTTCAACCTCGCCGACCATCGCAGTGACCACGCGAACCCCTAAGGGTTCCATCTCGATTCGTAACGTCTCAGAGAAGAACGTCTCGGCCGCTTTCGATCCGTTGTAGGCACCTTGCCATGCCATCCGCACGGCTCCAGCGATGGAGCAGATATTCAGGATTGAGCCTTTAGCGGCAATGACCGCCGGAGAGAAGGCTTGCGTGACAGCTAGCATGCCCCAAACATTCGTCTCAAAAAGTCTTCTTCCGTCGTCGACATTCGTATCGAGCAGTGGCCCGATCAGCATGGCGCCAGCATTGTTAACGAGTACGTCGAGTTTCTCGATTCCTTTCGCTTTGGCTTCTTCCGTGCACTGCTGAATCGACTGTTTCGACGTAACGTCTAGCGAAAGCACTTCAATGATCCCTTCATTTTTTCCGAATTTCTCCTCTCCTGTAGCGAGCGAAGCGGCTTTTGCTGGGCTTCGTACGGTGGCGAGAACGTGGAATCCTCGCTTGCGGAATTCCTCGCACAACGCTGCACCGATGCCACCCGGTGTGCAGCCTGTGATCAGGCAGGTCTTTCGAGAAGCCACTACCATTGTCGATGTTGCGATAGTCGTCAATTATTGTTTCCGTGAATGTAGCGCAGCTTTGTGAATCGTCTTCTGCTGTGTCCTCGAGCTTCTGCAGAGACGCTCTCCGTTCTATTCTGGAACCGCTCACATACTCTCTACTCCAGATGCTTCAGCTTGGTAGGGGCTCTCGGAGGAATACTTTCAGCGACGCCGGACTCTTGCTTCATTCCATGGCATGGCAGCCTGTAAGTACAGCGGAGCTGGGATCATCTCAGATCATGCTAAGTTCCTTGGTCGACTCAAATGGTATTCTGGCGGTCGCAGAATGCATCAATGAGTTAATGACGATGCTTTACTGTAGTGGAATAAAAATAGGTCCTGTGGCTACTTCTATGCGGCTCTAGATGCATGCTCGGTACTGTATCGATGATGTGATATCTTCTCCCGTCATAATCAAACTCAATCGCAAGTACCATATGGAGCGACGACTCCGATCACAGCACCATACAGCCGGCGTTCCCCAGTTTTGTCTCTAATTCATTGCTCTAATGCTTCACTTGAGTCATCTTCACCAGCATTGGAGGCTTGACCCAGACATGCCACACCAACATGTCCGCTTCCTCCCACTTCTTCCTCGCAGCCACAGCCTCTGCGCTGTCGTCAAACGACAAGTCAAAGTTCCAGATCAATTGACCCATCAACAATCTCGCTTCGAAGTATGACAAGTTCTTTCCCACACACGCCCGTACCCCCAAGCCGAATGGCTGCGAAGCATGCAGCTTGTCGTTTTTGTATCGCTCAGCACCGAGCCACCGCTCAGGTGCGAACTTCTCTGGGTCAGTGAAGTTGTCAGGGTGACGCTCGGCGACCCATGGCGCAGTGGCGACAGTCACGCCGGCGGGAACGAAATGACCGTCGATGGTGTTGCCTGCGCCGGTTGGGGGCACAACGCGGTGTTGATTGCAGGGTGCTGGCGATACAAGGCGGAGGGCTTCATCGACGGTTGCTTGGAGGTATTCCAATTTGCCCATGCTTGCCCACGTAATCTCGTCGGCAGACTTGAAAGTTCCCCGAACCTCCTCGACGACCTTCTTGTAAACTTCAGGGTTGGCGATGAGGAAGTATGTCCAACCGGTCAGAAGGCTGGCTGTTGTCTCACTGCCTGCGGATATAAATTGGACCATGTTGAGAATGAGTTCTGTCTCGGACAACTTCGCCTTCTTAGTCTCGTTGTTCTGGAGAATATGACCGATCATGTCTGGGTGAGGACGGTCTTTGCTAGCAAGTCGACGCATCGTCTTTTGCGTGGCTTGGTTAAGATGCTTCTGGCGCCAGATTTTGGGTGCTTCCGGGATGAAAGCCTCAACCATCAAACGATGGAGCAAGGTGCCGACACCTGCTACTTGTCCGAAAGCTTGCTCCCAGGCACCGGATTGGAAAATGTCGTTGATTGCTCTCGCCCATTGAGTATTCTCACCTTCGTCGAGAGTGCCGAATGGCTCGGAGAAGACGACTTCGCCAATGATATCAAATGCCAGATAAGTGTCTGCAAAATGTGGTCAGATCTCGCATCGACATTACTGGTGGCAGAAGCGACTTACACCAGTGAGAGAAGTCAATAGCCTTGTTCTTGGCTGAATGATCCCTCAAAACTTCCATAAACTTGTCAACGTGAATCTGAAGATGCTCTTCTTGAGTGAGCAGAGCCTCGTTTGTGAAGGTAGCTCCTAGTGCGTTTCGCTGACGAGTGTGCGTTTCTGGCGGCGCAAGGCTAACACCAGTTTGGCCGTCCTTGGGCGAGACAACAGCAAGCCAGGCTGGGTCTTTTTGGAAGTTGGCGCCGACTTTCTACACGTGAATAAACATGGTTAGCTTGTGATCCGCCATACACTGGACGAGCTCCTTGATGCAGCTTACCTGAACGCCGTAGATGTCCTCCCACGCATCAGCGCCGATGAAGCTCAATTCATTCGGTCCAGTGCGAACGACAGGGCCTTTGGTCCACTTATTAGCATTTCATCAAGTATCAAAAGATGTCCGATCCCCACCATATTTCTTGTGCAGCTTCTGGAAAGCGCGAGGCTGCGTGCCCTTGTAGACGAGGTAGGCAGCCGGGATCGAGCTCACGCTGTTGAGCAGAGGACCGGGGAAGTTTCGAAGTGGGTGAATGAATTTCGCATGCACAATTCGAGAAAAAACAACGACGACCGCCTGATGACCTGTCAGCTCGGTTTACCAACTGGATGGATTTGATGTTCTGCACATACAGCAATGGCGATTGCGCCGGCGAGGTATGGAAGGGACGTCGTTCGGAGGAGGCCTTCTCCTCCTGAAGGAAAGACGAAGGACGCCGAACTGTCCATGGTTGCTTCTGATGACTGTGCTGGAGCAGAGAAGACTGTTCTGTTCAAAGGATTGGTTCAAGAATATACCCCAATACCTAAGCTCCCTAAATTGACCAAGATCGTTGAAGTAGCACACGACAACAACGCATGTGTTCTTTTTCTACATCAAGCTTGCGACATAGTCCCACGGAGCCATTGAAACGATTGTTCGTAGGATCGTTGAAAGCAGATCCCTAGACGGCCAGCGGGCAACGAACGGACTTTTGGTTCATCCGGCCAATGAGTTTCGCGCATCCTACGTACATTTCCTGCAAATCCTCCCATTATCAGCCTGTCACCTCATTGGCGGATGCTGAGACCGGATAGGGTAATGTCGGCCGCCTTGTTCGTCAATGAGGCGGTGTGTATTAAGAGGAGAATCGAAGAGATGGTTGTTTGGTACAGCGCTCATCAGCAGTATCTGAGGGATGTCAAAGTATAACTTTGACTTGACTGGGCACTTCTATCGAGATTGCCTTGATATCTCACGAATCGCCTGTCTCAACATCTGCTACAAGTTGGATATAGAAATAGCGTACTTGACCCAGAGGCTTGGTTTGGGTCATCCAAACCACTGGCGAGCTACGCCGCAGCAGCATCGCTAGTTCTAGAAACTCTGACCATCAAGTTGTCTTCCAAAAAGGTTCCGTATGTCATGATCTCACTAGGAGCGTAAGGCTGCGCCAATTGCAAGTCGAAGTTGCGGAACATCTGCCGGAGCAATCGGCATCAGTGAAGCTCAAAAATCACAGCACAAACGTCGACAACATACCTCGAAGACACTCTTATTGATCTCCATGAAGGCAATCGTTTTACCAACACACATCCACTGCCCATTGCCAAAAGCAAGCTCGGCGTCTCGTTCCATCTGCTTGCGTCTTGTTTCGTCAAGTTCCATGAAGCGTTCGGGTCGGAACATGTCTGCGTCTGCGCCGAAAAGCTCTTTCGAACGCAGCATCGCAGACATGTTGACGCCAATTGCAGTCCCTGCTGGGATTTCGTAGCCAAGGATGTTCTCGCCGCCTTCCGGCACGACCTTGGGAAAGAAGCCGATGAGAGGTGGTCGCATTCTGAGCGACTCATATACGACGGCCTCCCCCTGTCAGCTGTAACACCGAAAATGTCAAGGAGCAATACTCACCTGCAGATAGGGTAGCTGCTTCGCCTCTTGGATCTTGATCGGATTCGACACTCTGCCCTCCTGCTCGGCGAGTCGGATCTCTTGCTTGAGCTTGTGGTAAACCTGTGGCGTAGTCATGGTATGGATCAAAGCAGAGCGAATGGCAGAGGCGGTGCTTTCAGTCCCGGCAATGATCATGAACAAGCCCTCTGTCTCGCACTCTGTCTGGTTAAGGCCGTGCTTCATCATGGAGCCCTGGCGCAGTGTTAGCAACTCGAATGCACCGAATGACTATGGCCGAGACAACAAACCAGCATGTCTTGTTTCGGCTTTGCATCTGGAGCAAATCGTTGGCCAACGTAATGTGCTGCCACCCTACATCAATCAGTATTGAAGAAATTTGCCGGCTTCACAGGAACTCACCCCATCAGCGCCCCAAATCCAGCCCTGTCAGTGGGCTTTGGTCCGAACAACGCCAAAAAGGCCGGCGAGAACAAGAATTTCCTGATCCATGGAACATCGGCACAAGTAGACATTTGAGGCCAGAGATCATGAAGACTGCCCAGGAAGTTGTAATGATCCTTTTCCTCGCTGAGGTAACCAAACTCCTTACCGAACGCAAGTCTCGTGATGACATCCAGAGTGAAGTAACAGCTCGCCTTCCCAAGATCTAAAAGTGGTGTTCTGACATTAGTGGATGGAGATGCATACTTGGTGCCAATCTTGTTGATCAGCGTCTTCACCAGGTCATCGACGCCAACTTCCAAATCGGGAGTTTCACGGCCGCTGTACGCCGCAATGGTGCGCGACTTGGCCTGCCGGTGCTCCTTTGGGTCGAGTCGACTGAAGAGGTTTTCGTGGTATGGGTTGAATTTGCCAGTCTTGTAGAAGGGATCTCGGGCCCAGCGGTTGTCTGTACCAGAGATCTTCTTCAATACCTGAGGGTCGTTTGTGACCACCTCGTTTGGCCCGATTCGAATCAGTGGCCCATGCTTCTCGTGTAACTCGCGATGAACCCAGTACTGACGGCCAGAGTATGTGTACTTTGCGATCCAGAAGTAGGAGATGTTTGCCAGCCAGGAGGGAGCTGGGACGTGGCCGAGTCGTCGCCAAGTTCGAATTGTCTGTGTGATTTGATAGACGACAAAGAGAACAGCGGCTATCCAGGCGACGCCAGTCCAGCCCACTGCTGCGAATACTTCTGAGAGATGAGCTTGTGTAGGGGGAGCCATGTTGAAGTTCTGGAGAGGTGGCCGGCTCCCAGCTTGCAGTTACGGCCTTCTTCGAAGCAGTGTATGCACGCGAAGAAAAAGATTGACTTCTCCAGGGTATCCCCAGCAGATCGGTAATCCGTTCCATTCGTTATCATGCAATCAGCGTTCCATCTGTCAGCGTTGCGATGAAATGCACGTGTGCAGGACTTTGTTTCTCCGAACTCCATGAACATGAATATTCCCTCAGCCGCGAAGCCAGGAATGGACCGACCGTACACCCGCAGGATTCGACTTGCATACGTTAGAGCAATGACCAGCATACTTTCGAGCTTTAATAATAGAGCCCAGACAGTGTGATTTAGCCTGTCGTTAGCCGGCACTGCGCTGTTCTTGAGCAAAGCGAGAACAGCCGTCTTCGACAATTTGTGTCTGATCTCCTCGTTCGTTGCCATCTGTTAGAATTTTATTCCCACAATGCGTGAGGAAGAACTCAAGACCGAGCCAAAGCGTGCTCCCAGGGAGTACGACACTTGGTACTACCCACCAGACATTGCCAATGACCTCGACGGGATCAACCTTCCCCAGCAGATCAAAGGCGAGATCTTTGCAACTGCATGGGAGTACACCAGGACGGTCATTCCTCATTACACCAACTGGAACCGATATGTGGCTTTCATGCGGATCATCGTCATGGGGATCATTGCCGAGTTCAAGGGCGATTTGGTCAGTTCTCTTCCTTTATCGTAGCATTGTCAAGCTGACAGCACCAGCTCGACGTCACCGATGGCGATCATGTGCTCAACTACAGCCTCGATGGCATTCTTTCCGACCTCTTCGCGGGGACACCCGGTCACGCCGATATGGCCCGTGAGTACAAGACGTTCTTGCTGGTCTCAGGAGACAAGTCAAGCGGCAGACGGCACGGGGAGTTCTTCAGAAGATACGTCAACGTTCTCGCACAATCACCAGAGCAATACTTCCGTATGCGGGATACAGATGCATTGTGCCGCTTCACCATTGCTGTAGCGCTGGCGTGCAGTGATCAGGACGATGTATGGTTTACGGACGAGCAATTCAACTTGCTCGCCGAGATTGGTGACACCATGGTACGATCCAACGCCCTCTGGACTTGTGAATCATCTGACGTTCTCGCAGTACGACGCCGTCTCTTTCTTCAAGCACCGAAGCGAGGGCGAGACCAACAGCACATTCGCCTACATGCCAGACGAGCATCGCATCGGAGCATACAGGCAATGCCGGGAGGTCCTCTGGGCACTCGATGCAGCCTGGGGCCGCAAGAAAGAGATGGCCTGTGTCACCAGCTTTCTGCGATACTTTGGCGGTCCCCTTCACATGATGATGCGAAGGTACCGTTTTGTCGAGGAGGATATGACCATCGGCCGCCGTGAAGACGCTGGTGTAGTCGACCAAACTCGTGATCACTACAAGCTGTGGAACCGAATCGATGCCCAGAAAGAGCGAGTCGTTGATGAGAAGGATCTGCGGCGATACAAGGACATAATCGCAAGGGGCGATGAGCTGTTGATCGCTGGCCTGGCGAAGCAGATCGATGAGGAAGGCGAGGGTCGTTGCGACAAATGCCTGTACCGAAGCTCATATGGCGCCGAGACAACACATTGCTTTGGAGGTGTGCAACTCTGTGACTCGTGCAGAGAATACTGGCGTTCGTACCTCCTGAGCTTCCCCGAGCGTGCGGCCAAGGTCTTCCCAGAGCTACAGCCAGTGTATGAGAGAGCGATAGTGAATGTCGCTGTGCCGGAGAAGAGGACGAAGGAGCAGCCTCAGCTTGAGCTGGCGGAGAAGAAGCCGGTGGCGGAGCAGTCTGCAGTGGACAAGTCCCAACCGATGGAGGTACCTGTGGCGGCATGAAAGTTTACAGCTGCGTTGGCAGCTGCGTTGATGCCGAAGTTTCTGATTTCATGGAACGTGGTAGGCGAAGGCCTCTAGGAAAGAATTTTGGGTCATGCTATACCGTCGTCTCTTGGCTGAGGTCCACCGCCACCACTGTAGCCGCCGCCACCATAATTCTTGCGTATCTTTCCCAGCTTTGTCTGACCAGATCCGGAACTAGTAGTGGAAGATGGCTCCATGATCTTCGTGGAGAACCTCAATACAAATACTACTTCGCCCAGGTGCTGCTCTAAATTGAACCTAGCCTTAAGTTAGTTACCGTAACAAGTAATTAAGCTGTCTAATGTCTGTAAATTATGTAATTAATAAGGGTTAGGGTACTTGCTTAATGTCTGCTTAATAATATCGTTAATTAATTAGTAATTAACTGCTTAATAAGCTCGGGTTCGGATAAAGCTTATTTTTCTAGCTATCTATTCCTCTCTAGCTATATTTTAATAATAATATACTATATAAATTAATATATAGTATAGTAAAATATTATCGTAATAAGAAGAATAAGCTCTTTTAATATAAAAATATATAATAGTATTATTATAGTATAGTAGCTATAAACGCTTATAAATCTAGTAAGTCTAGAAAATCTAGCTTTTAGTATTATTATAATTATACTTATATAAATCTCTTACTTATATAAATAGCTACTCTTTTAGCTTAATCTTTTAATTAGTAGTACTTCTAGCGTTAGCTAATTAGAGGCTAGAAAACTATTAATAGTCTAGTAGCTTACTTATCTTATTATAAAAATATCGCTCTAGCTCTATAGTTATCTAAGTATAAAAGGAGTTATAGTAATATATAGAACTCTATTAATCTATCGCCTAATTAATAAAAGAATAAACTTCTATTTTCTCTATTTTTATATACTATAAGTATAATATATATTTTATTAAGCTAAGACTACTCTATAGGGTCTATATAGGTATTAAATATAGTAGAAGTAACTAAATTAATAAATAATAGTAGGAACTAACCTAGTTATAATTATATTAGTTATAGGAAGTAGGAGAACTAAAGTAAAATAA